TTGCTTCGAAGGAACCATATGTTCTTGTTCTTTTTTCAAAGTGGTCTTGAGGAATAGTTCTCCAAGCTTTCTAAAGGTCCCTCAGAGTTTTCTTTGGATATTGGCCTGATCATTTTCAGAGGAATGTTTTTTTAAGCCAATTAACACTGACCCATGAATCATTCAACCATAAAAAGGCACCTAACTGGTGAGACAAACCAATATTGTGTCTTTAGGCACATAACAGAAAATTTAGCAAAGAAGTCATTTTAGATTGTGTTTCAAGAGACTTTGTTACTAGCAGCCTGTTGTAAAATCATGTAAAATGCCAAACATAATATAGTTTGATTGGCACAAGATGGCATTTTTTAACCAATAAGATGATTCCCAGACTGCTATTAGCCAAAACTTGGCAAAGCTTGGATTTATTCTGAAAACAAACTATCTATACTAACATATGAACGGTATCTGAACAGCCCACCCTTTAGAAAAAGACAAAAAAACACCTGACACACGACCTCAGAGGTACATACGCCCCTTCTGTTGATCTACTGTTCACTGAAGCCTAATCAGAAAAGGTCGCTGTGAAAGGGTTGCAGGGACAAAAAAGCCAAATTATACAACAACTGGACTGAAAATCAGTTTCAACAGGTCTTATGAAGCTATGAATCCAAATGTAACATTTTTTCATGTTGTATGTACAAGAGGGAGGACCAACAGTGACTGTCTAAAGCCCTAAGTTAAACACACTGAAGGCTCCATCATGGTTTGAAGTTCCTTTTCAGCCATTGGTGTTGAGGGTTGAAAGTGATGAGTCAGTTTTTCATCATCCAATATCAGCTTGAAACATCTAATTGTCAACAGTTCAATTTTTCAGCATAACAATGACCCCAAACACACTGCCAATGTGGTAAAAGCTCAACTGGATAGAAAAACACAGTACAGACCTTAAAAATGATGGTAGCAGTGTGGAATCATCTCGACAAAGCGCAGAAAAGGCAGAAACCTCCAAAGAAGAGCTTTGAATGTCCTTCAAGAAGCCTGGAGAACTATTCCTGAAGACTACTTAGAGACATTACAAGAAAGCTGTGTAAGAGAGTTCAGGCTGTGATACCACCAAATATTGACTTTCAAGCAAATTAGACTTCAACTTTTGCTTTATATACTGTATTTCCTTATGTTTGCAAAAGTTTCAATAAACTTCCTTCCTTTTCCTAGAAAATAGAAGCTAATGATTGTTGGCTCAAGACTTTTGCACAGTACTATATATATCATTTGCAATACAGTAACAGCCAAAAATAATATTACTGAAGTCAGGGAACCTTTTCTTACTTGTTTTAGACAGAGGACTAGAGTGAGTGTGGAGAAAGAGCTCTTTATACTCGCCTCTGTGCAGTGTGTAAACAGTGACAGACAGTGGCTGGAGGGTGGCTCAAGTTTGCCTGTGAAAAGTGCTTGTGTTTCAATACCATGTCAGGTAAAAGTCAAAGCAGGTTAAAGAACTCTAATTTTTACACTTCTGCTTATATAGTATTTTTATTGCAGGTCTATTTTGCGTTAGAAGGGTTCTGTGTTTTGTGCTTGAAATATCACTGACTGCTGTTCCATATGTTTAAATTAAGGTTTTGACAAATGGCAAAATAGTTGCAAATGATTTGCAATCCTTAACATAGATTTGCATATTTGCCACTTTAGCACATTAACACACAAGCTTGCTTTTATGCAGACTGATTTTTATTCTGACCTTCATTGTATCAACAACACACACAATTTCTTTTATGTCTCTTAACACTCTTAGTTATAAAATAGATTTTTTCCTCACATGAATGAATAAATTATAAATCCCTTTATGTGTTACTCGGTCAAATGTGTCGAAATAGTGATAAATTGCTATCAGTTTGCAATTGAATGCGGTCAAGTTGGCAAATGCATCACATCAGTTTGTAATAATACAGTGAATAACTTTGATAAATAACTTTGATAAATCAACAAAAATTGCAAAATTTCAAATTAAACAAAACCTTATAGATCTGAGACAAAATTCAGAAATTCCTCCACCTTTAGTGACACAGCAGCATGGTGATTGAACTGCATAATGACAGAGGCACTTGGGAACCTTGCTTTTACATACGAATAAAACCAGTATACTGCAAACAGCTGAGTTAAGTCTCCAATTTCAGAGAGACGATTCACAGATGTGTTGCATTCTTTGTTGCAACCTGACAAAACTGGTTGCAACATGCTGGAAATCTGTTTGCATTTTTAAGTTAATATATTTGCAAGCCTTACCAGTCTCGGGGTGATTACTAGAGGTTGCCTTCCTACAGGCGACCTTGGCGACCATGCAGTCACCTAGGAACTGAAAGCAAGGTTGAGAGGGTTGCACGTTCAACCGCTGGACAATCAGCTGCTCACCTCAATAACTTGCAACTGGTTAACAAATACAAAGAAAAATCAGCGCAGTCATCAAGCAACCATCAATTCTTCCTAGCTGCAAGGAGGTTACCGACCTATTATAACTCTATTGTGACTGAGCCATAACACAGCATGCTTGAACTAAACCAGTATTAACTCCTCCTACACTTTTCCTACTGTGACCAAATAATAACTAATAAAAGCATTCTCAGCAGTTTCTGGATATACATGTAATAATGAATATTGAATTGTATAACTGTAAATACCATAACCCCAAAGTTGTAGCAGAGCACTACCCAAACTCTTGTGCAGTTATAGTCTTCATACAGCAATATATACTAATTTTGGCTGTAAGACATAAACACTTATTTACAAGTTGCTGAACAGAATCAGTAATCATTACTGTGGAAATAGTAAGAGACTAAAGCAGATAGCCAGAGAGATTATTCATCACTTCTCTGGCAGCAGTTAGTTGGCTTTGGTTCTTTTGGTTTTAGGGCCATCTCATTAGTGGAGATGGTAATAATTTTGAACAAAGGCTGATTGTTCTAATATTCACAGCTGATAACAGCTACATACACACGCTGGCAGTAATTACGGGAGAATATCTGAGACAGACTATATATCACACTGAAAGAGTTTTTATTTTATAAATAGGGACCATGAAACAGTTAAAACGTCATTAAATGGATGTCAACTCTAAAGTCCACCTCTAATGTGTCACTTTAACTATACATGCATTTTGCATACATTACACCCAACAGATTAGGCACATAAAGCTTTCTGGCACTACTTGTATTTAGCTATCTAATATTTATAACAACATAAATAATCACTAAGTACAATTATTTGGTTGCGCCCTATTTCTAAAACACAGGGGAGAATTTGCTTTACTTATTGTCCAACAGGAAATCAAACCAGCCTTAAGTGTGCCTCAATGTCCCCGGGGCTACCATCTGCTGCTGCTGTCACCCTGGCATCTTTGAACTGTACTGTAGCTGATTCACTCACCCCAACTTTATCTCCTTTGAAGTGCACTTCTGACTCTAAAGCAATAAAAATAAGTGAAAATACACACAAAAATAAGATTCTTTGCCCTGAAAGACTTGCCAATCATGCAAATTTCATTTGACCAGATGTTTTATTAGACCAATGTAGCAAAGTTACGTGCATGATTTACATCTGATCAGGAAAATAACAATAAAAACAGTTAAGATCCTACAAGCTAGATACATTGACACCAAATGTGTCTTAAATTTTTAACTGGAACAATTTCTTATGAACCAAAAAATAAAATTACACTCAGGATTAAGCAGACCTCCAAAAGAACCCATGGACGTCACTGGAGCCCACTTTTCTTGAATGACTGCCCCTGCTCTGTGAACCATGCTAGGATGAGATGTAGTATGAAACCATCTCTGACCAGACAGCTATTCTTCCCAGCCATGGATTCGGTCACTGGGCACTGGGACTAGCATCTGATACGATTTGGCTGGGAGCTGGCTGGGCTGGCCTGGGAGGATGAGCTGGCTGAAAAGACAGAGGCTGATCAGAGCTCTTGCCATCAGTGGAGTGAGCCAAAAGACATACAGATCTGACTCCTAAATCCTGGAATGCTTCAACTTCATTCAATTACAAGTTAAAGTTGTTTAAAAGAAAAAAAAAACAAAAGAAGGTAACTTGCCTTAGTGTGTTGTGGTCCAAGAAATTGAGGAAGTAACTCTCTGTCTTTCTGTCTTTTTTTTCTTTCCTTTAAAAAAACTTTAAAAGCAAAATGACCTAATCACTGATCTAGAAAGCACAACATAAGGTTTATTGGCTTTGAATAAGAGCATGGTGTAAGTATAAAAAAGCGATAACATTAGCAAATAAAATGAAATGTATCTTCAGGTTTTGTTGTTATTTCTTTTTTTAGTTTAAATACACATCAGGAGAACATTACCCTTCATGACCAAAAACAAACAAACAAACAAACAAACAAATAATATTCTGTTATCTTGTTGAAGGTCAGTGTATGACTAAAATATTCCGTAGGTCTAGTTGGTCTGGATGTTTATGAGGCATAACATCAAAACATTTATTGATCTCTCATACCCCAAAGCAAAACATCTGCATTCCTCTAATTTATTCAAGTGTTTTCTTTCATTCCACACCCGCAGGACCTTTCAGGATCGGTTTTCTTTTCCTTTTTCATGTTTCTGTCCACGGAAAATCCTGTTGATTAGTATTTGTAGTGATGTAAAATATTGAATCCTCAGTGACTCTGTAGCACTGTCTGGTGTTTTGTTTGATTCAATGGTGCATTATAATTCACTACTATTATTTTTGAATGGTGTATAAGAAAACATTGTGGATAACAAATGATGTAGTCTCTGGTGAATTGTAGATATTATCAATGTTACCGAACATCCTGCGTGCACAGTTTTCCCAGGTCATTATGAGCTGTGTCAGAGTTTTCTTTCATGAAAAGCGCTCTGAAGAGACTTCGGGGGGCGCACAACAAAGCCAATGGGTGGACCCGAAGGAGAATTTCCAGCCCCGTGATTTGCTAATCGGGGGCTGGTTCACTTGTCATTTCCCTGTAATCCTTGCTCTGGTTTGTGGAGCTCGCCCAGCCCCCCTGTCCGTGGACGCACCAAGTGTACCGATTGCACTCTTTGCGTTTTGGATAAAGCCCGACTACCTTCACTGTGAAGGCTGGGCACGGTACAGGAGGATCAGGGCCTCGTTGTGGCTGAGAGAAGAGGCTTAAATTCGTCACATATGGCTTTTTTGTAGGACAGTATCTATCATTACTTGGGATTGTGGAAGGGACGTCAGTAAAAATCACTTAAGTCGCCCAGAAGTTTTATACACTTGTGGGCGCGCGACCATGGAGATGCAAAGGTGGTCCACAAGGTGGAAAACGAAAAGGTGGCTTATGGATTCCACTGTAACCGGATTCATCACTATAACCTTGGTTCTACAGGCTGCTAATGTCAGAGCAGGTAAGATTACTATGTCCCAAACGCCTCTAATAAACTTTGTATTGCCGAAAAGGGGACGGTGTACGGAACGCCGACTGGATGGCAAACCTAGGTAACTGATGATGGAGATTGGGGGGTGGGGGTGTAACATACTTACCTGGAGAAGGCAGCGTTATGCTCGCATCGCAATTAGACGTGTTTTCCCGTTTCACAAACAAACGAGTCACAATAAGGTGAGACTGCCCCATATTTAGAAGCCGATGAAAGCCGAACCAAAGGCACCGCAAAGGTGTGCCCTGTTACTGCCACTGTGAGGAGAACCGTTAAATACTTTGAGACAGGCGGCGCAGGTAGTGCTCGTGAGGAATCGCTTGAAATGCGTGTATTAGTTGATCAAAATCCCGTTAATTAAAGCAAATTTTACCTCGTGCTAATTTTACGCATGAATGAAAAGCGTCTGCGGCAAATATGAAACACATGGCCTAATTAAATTCATCCTAAGCCGCTGGTATGCACTTATAAAGATCAGGAAACAGAGCATGGTGCTTTTTCTCTCTCTTTTTTGTAAGATTCACTTGGGCAAAAAGAAACCTCTTTGTTTGAACTGTGGTCCCCTAGGTGGATTGGAACACGGTTAGCAGGGTGGGCTTTTCCAGCCAGATGGCACTGGACATTTGTCGGACCCTGGACTTTGTTCACTTGTTTCTTACAACTGTTTAACTGCACCACTCATATCAGAATGCAGTTCTTTACTTCATGCCTGGCTGAAGATATATTCAACAGTGGATTGGTGTTTAACTTTGGCCGTGATCTGATTGCCAGTCTCATATTATACAGTGGGTGAAATTCTAACGTGTGAACGTGTGGAAAGATATTTAATTGAAGGTTCTTGGGCACAAACATTTTGACGTGAAAGTTGTGGTTTGCGGAACAGCAGCAATCGTTTCATGAAATCCGCTTTTATGAAAGGTCTCAGTGGATCTCCGACCTGTCAGAGCAGAGTGCAAATCAAATCAACTGTGGGTGCTAATGTGGTCATGCAGGTTCACCCTATCTCCACACTGCCCTGGTCCACACCAAAGCCCAAAAACTGGCCTGTGCATCCCCCCTCCCCCTTGCCACCCACCAACTTTGCACTTAAAGGTTTGGTCAGCTGCAGGACAAGGCTGTGTTGTGTCCGTGGTGGGAATGCTTCCTCTCTAAGTATTGAGCAGTTATTTGATGATGGTCCTTTTTGAGCTTCCCTATGATTTAAGAGCCTTCAAAGAGCAGACCTGCGTATGGGCCTAGCCTACCATTACAGCCACAAGTGACATGGTTCAGGATTACATGGGTCTCACATCTTGGCCGACAACTCTGTAAGGACTCCTTGTTTAAAAAAAGGCTGTTGGAGATAAACATGAACTTCATAGTGATATTTATCCAATACCTGCAGTTTGTCTAGTGGGTTTTCAGTGGTAGACTGAAAGCGTGTTCTGCAAAACAAGAAATAAATGCAGTTTAATTGTTTCACTTGATGTTGTGCAAATGCAGGGGTTCATGATTACGTTGTTGTGCATTTATCTACTTCACACAGCATTTTGGTATCATTTGTTGTGTTAAAGTACTACAGAACCTGTTAAATTTGATGAAAATTACTGAATTTATGGTCTAAATTGAAAATGTACCGTTTAATAACTAAACAACTAGAAACATTTTTATACAATTTAAATATCCTCCTGGAGACTTTGTGCTCTATGGTCCTAATTTCTTCGCCACTCTTTATGGCAGTAGGAGCTGTTCCTGTAGGGTGCCCTCTCCATCTAGCAGTGTACAGACACGTTTTCTCAGCCCCTGGGGCGTAGGCTCAGATGTGCATTCCAGCAGACAAAGCTAGCATTTCCAGAGTCTTCTCCTTAAAATGCCCAACTGTGAACAAGAGCTAATCAGCTCCTTGCTGGACCTTTGTCTGCTGAAGCTGTCACACATTTATTGTTATTGTCAGTTCATTTAGAGATTTAAACACAATGGGGCAAACAAACCCATATTTCCATATGGAGGCATAGTGTGAGGAAAAGTAAAGTGAAGGAAGAGGAGTGGGGGGAAATGCTTTGAAAACTGGGTTGGTCTCAGTGAAGTTTCTTTGGTATGACAGCAGCATAAAGCCGTCTTGTTTTAGCCGGCAGCGTGGTGGAAGTTAAAGGAAGCAGAGAGGGAGAGTGGGGGAGAGGGGCTATATATATAGAAAGAGAGAGAGAGGGAGAGAGACACTCTGAAGATGTTATTAGAGTCTCAGGGAGCTGCAGGTGAAAAGGTCCTCTTCTATTTACCAGCCAATTTTACATTTCTTTACCTTAAAAGACAAAAATGCTGAAAATGAGAAAGTGAGTGTGGGATTTATTATAGGAGTGTTATGTACAGTTTAGTTAGAGTTGAGAGTATTTGGCCTCAGATGTGAATGATGATATCTTTTGGAACATGCAGTTTACAATGATGTACACTTGTGAACATGACAAATAAATTAAATCTGTCCATTTTGATGTCTTATGGCAACAAAGCTTTATATTGCTCCTCCCATTCTCCTCTTTCTCTATAGTTTGCATTATCATCCACGCAAGGAGTGATGGAACAACAGAGTATTTAGCAGCTCAGGTACTGGTTCCTCCTCCACACTAAGGAAGGTCCATCCTGAGTTCTTCTCACAGCTATGTGGCCTATTTACTTAGCCTTGAGGGCAAACACACCAGCTCATCAGATGCACTCTTTTAAAATCTGTGCACACTCATTTGGCCACCTTGATGGATTGGCCAGTATTGACGTTTTCACAGCACCACTGTATGAGGGTCGTAGCCTGGCCAAATTGGCACATCTGGAACATATGAGTCCTGGAGTCTGAACTGAAAGCGACTCTGCGGGAACTCACAATAAGCTCCTCAGTTCACGCTCCAAAATAAGTAGTTGCTTCATCCTCACAAGCTACAAAAATGACCATGTTGTCCTTAGTGAGGGTATTCCCACAGTCACGGCTGATAATGCTCTCAACTTCGCATTTATTTAAGATGTTTTTAGATACTTTGCCTTATCTTCCTTTGAGCGTTTTATTGAAATGCGAGTGAGTTAATCAGCCAACACAGATTTTTCTTAGAGGGATCTATTAGCGGTTGGTGTTTGTGAACGGCCTTGTGACTTCTTCAGATTTCAAAGTTCAAAGTGCACCAAGTTTAAGGAGATCAGCTCTCTGCTAGCATTTTGACCTGTTGTGACTATCTAATGATCTTATACAAGCCTTCTGTATGAGAGCTGCTAGTGGCACATTCAGTATTCAGTTGTAGATGTTAAGACAGGAGCTTGTTCCCAGAGCACATGCTTCTCCGAATGAATGAAACATGCTCTTTCTTTTCTTTTCCTTGCCATTGCTGGAATGTTAACCAGAAAGTGTTGAGATCGACATCAGTGACTTTTTTTTAACATCCTCTTGTGTCAAGAAGTTAGAGAAATACAAGAGTTATTTGACCTCAACATGCCAACCATAACAGCGGCTTGAGAGCGATCAGAAGAGGCTTACTGATGCTTTCAGGCACCTTTGCATGCTTCCGCTCCAGAAAAACACATTAGTGTTATTGCATCCAGCAGTCTGCAGTTGTATTGCCTGATTTATTCAGATACCGCTGTCTGCTTCATGGAGTAAACTGAGCAACTGTCATTTGAGCATATTCAGGAGTTAAACTTTTTGTCTATAAATAACGCTTGCTGAATTTATCCATCAAATATTTCACATTTTTATCAGACCTTGGGCAGGAAAAAAAATCTTCCAGCTGCTAATGGCCTATATGGCCAATGTTGGTATATATACATATGGTATATGTTGCAGTTGATGTTTTCCCAACCTAATGTTTTATGATGAGACAGTGGTCTGAATAGAAGGCATAATTACAATGCTTTCCCATGGGAGTCCATTTGCACCCACATAGGCTCCTTTATGTAAAGCACATCAGATTGAAGAGTCTTATCAAGGTAAACCTATCCAGGTGTTATAGAGCTCGAATTCTGTTGGTGCATTGTTCATTGGTATGCTTGGCTTAGACATTTCCTGTCAGATGAGATTGTAGAGCCTGGGCAAGGCCACATTTCCTAATTTAACTATTTATTGTAAGAAACTGAACTCCACATTTAACCAGCATAACACACATATTTTTGATAAAAAGCCATAATTTATAAAAATTTAATTTAACATTAGGTAGAAGTCCTGTTAGTGCCCTGCATTTATTTACAAGCACAATGACATGTTTATTTATATAAAAAAAAAATGTTAAAAGCCCCAACACTCATCATTGTTCCCTTAATATCTTTGGACTTTGTTGAGAATGCACCTTCACTTTAGCATACTATCTTGATGGACTGCGTTTTATGTTTCCAACCTGAATCGTTCATGAGGTGGTTATGAAAAGGAAGCGCACCTTCATGTTGCCCACAGAAATCGCTGCAATAACCTGATGTTTTCTTTGCCTTTTAAACAGCAGAGCCAGTGGATGTCCTAAAAGTATTAGCATTTGAAAATTACCCCAAAGGAGTGACAAAAACAACAGGATTTTGCGCAAACCGAAGAGCATCGACGCCAGATACAGCTTACAGAGTTGCCAAGGAGGTCCAGATCAGTGCCCCCACCACACAGCTATTCCCTGGTAAGTACCTTTAACCTTAGACTGCTATGTGCAAACTGCTAGTGACTGCTTTTATCACGACATTAGGTGAGCATGAGAAAAACATACCATGCAGATATGTGTAGATTTCCATGCGCCTTAATATTTTACCAAAATTAAAAGCGAGTAATGTCGCATCATTATAGTGTTATTATTATTGTAATTCACTGTGATAAAATGAGTATTTACTGAGAACGTACTAAAAATATTTATTGGTAGTTATTTATTACTTTTGAAAAGAAAAGTGATGCTGGGCGAAATTAAATTTTATTTATTAGATCATCTCAGTCACATTAACTTTTCTGTTTTGACCATGCAGGTGGTGTTTTTCCTGAGGATTTCGCCATCCTAGCCACAGTGCGTCCCAAATCTGGCATCCAGTCCTTCTTGCTGTCCATTTACAACGAGCAAGGAGTCCAGCAGCTGGGCGTGGAGGTTGGACGCTCACCTATCTTCCTGTATGAGGATCATAATGGCAAGCCAGTCCCAGAGGAATACCCCCTGTTTGATGGTCTTAACCTTGCTGACGGAAAGTACGTCAGATCTCGAACATTCACTCACGTAGTCACGTATTCGAACACATGCACAGGACCTCAGAGGGAATGGGTGTGGAGAGTGAAGGGTGTTAAAATGCAACATGGGGCAAAGGAAACATGCCAGTGCTTTGGCATTTTGCAGCACTGAATAGTTTTGAACAAAGTGATCCAGCATTTATTTATTGGTGCCAGTTTTGCTGGACTATGCGTTCCTATAATGCATTGAATGCTATTTTAATCAGCCTAAAAATAGTTTAATGACCATGTAAAGCTAAATATTTTCTGATTCCCACTGACTTGTTCTTTTTAATAAAAGTGAGAAAACAACCCAGATCTTCCCCTTGTTGCGCTGCAGGTGCTCATCACCGGATTAGCCATCTCATCAGGGGTCTGTGGGCATAGAGACAGGTCAGAGACAGACACTGGATTATTGGGGCACAGCAGGACTGCTATGGACAACCTGACCTCATCTATGAACTCACTGCCTCTGCTATTTTAGAGACAGAAGCAAGGGGCAGTACCAGAAATACAGGCCTCTTAACATTTAGCATAAACCTGATTATCTTCTCCCATGTTCAAAAACCACAAAATGCTCAGTGGGAGTTTTTAGGTCACTGTCAAGAGTCCATGTGCAGGGACAGGCTGGGGATAAATATTCAGAAAGGATGCTGTGCTTTACAGTTTCTTCCAGTGTTATTAAAGGATTTTGCACTTGCTGAACATGCTGAACTTTAGAAGGAAGTCAGAACCCAGTCACAATATTTTTGTGCTCTAAATTGGCTTAAGATGAGTTATAGTATATATGCTGTTATCATAATAGAAATAAGCTTGACAAATCCTTGAAAAGTCAGCAATAATGCTGCTTCGTGAGCATTTTTCAGCAAATGAAAGATACTCTGAGCCGGCTTTGTGCTAGTCTTGTAGGCGGTTTTGCCCATTATGTGCTACTTGCTTTGTTAGAGAGTGCACTGTTTTTGGTGGAGGACTTTCCAGCTCAAGGTCTTCAGTGGCTATAGCTGCATGCATGGATGGATTCACTGGTACTAGCAAGCAGACACTCAGGCTGAATAGGGAGGTACAATGATCTGCTATTAATGAGGTAAAAAGGAGCATTCTTTTATTTAGAAAAATGGATAAGATATGATGCAACTTAGTTTTGCCATAATTACACTTTTTAAATATGATTTATATAATAATATGCTATTTCAAATATAATCTTACCCCTCCGATCAATATGCACTTAAAGTCTGAGAAAACTGACCGAAGTCAACGATTGCTTTTCTGCCACATAAGGTGACAAATAGTCCTTTGTGCCGTAGTGCTTATCCCAGAGAGTGTTGCACATTTATTTTTCTCCAAGCTCCATTTCCTGCCCTGGAATGTGTCTGTATGACTTAGCTGATATTCAAAGACACATTTTCACTTTTGGTAACACAATTGACCACGCAGATAAATGAATTATCAGAAACAGTTATATCTGTGATTAAAAAAAAGGTCTTTGATTGCTATCTTAAGTTAAGATGTTGTCAGGTCTCATCTTCCACCTGTGAACAATGTTTTGACTGTCTGTCTCCTGCTCTGGCAAGGCAAGCCTTCCTGGATCTTGACACACACTTTCCACAATGTTCACAACGTCTGTCATGCTAAGTAACCCAGAAGGAGGATTAAGTTTGGAGTTTAATGAGTGTAATCCCGTGTTAAACAGGGCCAAAGTGTGGGGGCAAGAATGTGGTCCAGTGCTGCCTGGTATGCAATAGCCCTCAAGTGCAGCGCAAATGGTGCAGAGGCAAGGAAGGTGTCAGACTCACGTGTGACCCCAGTTAACCCATTGCATCGATGGCGGTTGCCGATCAAAATATACCATAAACACTGGAGCATGTATTGTAATGAGTATTGTGAATTTCTTTCTCCTTGAGTTGTGTTGTGAAGCAGTCAAAGTGGACTACATACTGTTAAAGTGCTGATGTTGTTTTAGATTATGATTAAATTAAATTAAATTAGATATCCTAATTTGTACTTGACACCTATAATAATATTTTTTAGCAGCTATCTGCTGTGTCAAGGCCTTTTTATTATGTGAGAATTCCCACAGCAACAACATGCAACAACATTTCAAAAATGATTAAATAACAAGCAGTTAACTTATTGAACTTTATAGATGTTTCCTTTTTTTCATTTATTGCTTTTCTCCTTGTGTGTGTCCTTGATTAGGTGGCATCGTGTAGCCATCAGTGTGGAGAACAAAGTGGCCACTATCATTGTAGACTGTAAGAACAAGGTCACCAAAAACCTCCCCAGGAGTGACCATGCCTCCGTCAGCACCGATGGCATTACTGTGTTCGGCACCAGGATACTGGATCAGGAGGGTTTCCAGGTAAGGTTGTCAACGTGGTGGATTGCATATGTACAGTGTTTGTGATTGAGTTTTCTAATCTGCATTTTGACACATTTGCTTTGTATTTTGGCAAATTGTTTAGGAACCATGCATCTGCCATCTGTGACTGAAAAAGTAGAAGTTTAATCCATTACTGTGTGTATTAAATGCATTTTTCCCTTGTTTAATTTGAAAGAGTATTTACTGTCTACCCAGTTTTGAAAGTGCGTTGTTTAGTAGGTTATAGTTTAAATCCCGCTGGCACAGATCCTTGTGATCCTGACAACATGCGTATCAGATATGAGATATCTGAGACCATTTGAGCTTTGTCGCTTCTCATTTTCAGTAAAGCTACCTTGTGGCAACTTTAACATTTGCTGTTTTATTTGATCTTCCCACAGAAGAATTTTCCATAACTAAGGGATATTGAATATAAATCGAATACAAATCTGCTTTGTTCTGCTTCAAACTCCCAGACTGTATGAGTAACTGTCTGGGAGTTTGGGTTTGTTACCATTTGTTCGTTCAGTGTGATGTTTGTTCTGCTTTGAGGCGCAGGTCATCCAGAGGTTGATGGTGGCAGTGGGTCAGGCAGACGTAAATAATGACAAACAGAGGCTGAATTGTCATGATATTTATGGTGAAACATAAAGGTCACTGGGTGGCTGCATGAGAACTATTTTGGACTGAGGTTTGCCTAAGTGGTACAGACTAGATTTACTGCCTACTTTTACTTTTATTTAAAAAAGTAACCATTGCAGGTGTATATTAAAGCATATATTTATGTGGATGATTCACTTATGTATTTTAATATATTCCACAAAGATGAGAAAAGATAAAACAAAGACATCAGTGTCTAATATATAAATCCAACATTAAAGACCTTTAAAAGCTCAAATCAGACACAAAGACATAGACAGCACAAACAGTCACACCACTTCATGTTATGAGAACATGTTTGCTTATCCTGTTTACGTTTATAAAGCATTATTTTGCTTTTTATGTTGTATATCCTGATTATTTTTGTGAGAGCCCCTTAAAAAGGATTGTTCATCTCAAGTGAATAATCTTTCTAAAAACATCTAAAAAATGTTTATCAGCTGACAAAACCAGATTGTAGTTTATGATCTATGATGGCCGACTTATTCCTATTTGTTGTACTATTTTTTTAAACGTTTATAAGCAGATTTGCTTTCACATATCCTGTCAGTTTTGATTAGATTTATGGGGGGGGGGGGGGGGGGGGGGCACTGAGGCCCGTGTTTGTATCAAACAGTGTGTCTAGTCAGAGGCTGGCAGTGGAAGGGCTGAAAATATGAGCCATAAGTCACCTAACAGGATCTTCTCTGTGTAGTTTTTGGAACAGGTCTCCTGTCTGTTCTCTGTCCTTGCGCTCTTCAGATATCCTCAGTGCCCATTGCATGCTGGGATGTACAGTAGAGGGGAAGGAAATACCTCGACCTTTTACATTCATGCCAATTTTTTTATAATGAGAGATGATGTCAGACCTCCCCCTGATGTTTTGATCTTTTTTTTTTTTTGTAAAATTGGTCATTGCTCGAGTTTTATGAGATTTGACCTGGTAAAAATATAACTATGTATAAGAAAATTTAAAAAATGTTTTGAAATGTAAGAAATACAAAATTGCCAGTTTGTCCAAAAGTTTTACTTCTCTGTTAAATGAGTAGTGTTCGATTTATAGGGTTAGATAGCACACATTGCTGTTATGTGTTTCTTTACTCAAATTTTGGAATTTATTTTCCCAACTTCACCTGCATTTTTCATAAATGTCTATTCATGCAGTACCTGCCTCAGGTTTGAGGCGACCACCATGGCAAAGGGATCTGGCTTAGATGAATGGGAGTCTTTCATTGAGCCTTCAGGCCTTCTTAGTTGCTCATCTCCTCCCCTCCCTGCATACTCACCCATGCTCACCACCCCCTCCTCCCACTGTATCCTCCCTAGGTTCAGGCCTCCCTACTGTGTTAAACGAGACTGTCTATTCATGCCTGGTGAAAACACTCACACATATACACACACATATATATATATGTATAAATGCACAGATATATCACTTTGCCTTTTGAGTTCTTTTTCTTACTTGCGCAGTCTAGTGTTTACTAGGATTATAAATCACATATTGTTGTAATTGTTGTATGAGGCTGTCTAATTACAGCTGACTGTGGTTAGACTTAAAGGTATGTTGCCTTTGGCTACAGTATGTCAAAGGACACATGCTGATGATAAATTTGGCCAGTGATAACTTGCCTCTGTATTTAGAACTTGAAGTAGGACTTTAACTGAGAGAGAAAAACAAACAAATAGCTAACTGTCACAGAAAAAGGTGACATTGCTGCATGCTAATGGTTCAAAAAATAGATGTTATTTCAATATACCTCTCGATTCCAACAATTTTACTATGCGTGGACCTCTTCCATGTTTATTTATATCCCAAGATGCCTTGTGGTTAGGATGAGGTAGAATGTAAAAAAAGATATATGTCAGAATTTGCCCTTTGCAGATCACAAATATGATTATTTTCCAGGTTTATTTCTGTCACTTTGTGCTACATAAAGTATAAGACAGATGCAGTTTTTCCAAAAAAAACAAACATAACTTTTTATTAGCGACTCCTTGACTTAACTAGTACATGTTAACAACGATCCGTGAAATAAACAAAGACATGTTTCAGATAATAATGTAATAACTGGTAAATTTATTTGAAAATTATAATAATGTTCTTCGTAACTGCTTTGACCCTGCTTATCCTGATTAACTAAAATTAGCATAGCTTTAATTTTAGTTACTTTTCCCTTGTTAGATTCTTTAACAGATCCATTGGATGTGTGGGTGAGGGTGATTTAAGTGTCTGATTACATTTGTTATGGTATTTGTTTTTGTGACAACAGATGCGGTTTACATTGGCAAACTTTGTGTCTGCACACACAGTGAAGAGCTTCCATGCTAACGACATGTTAGCATGTGGCTGTGAGTGCTGTGAGCGTGCACACGTGTGGATGTTGCGCATGCCTGAAACAGACCGCCTTGAACAATTTGGAAATCAGTTGATTGTGGTCCCTGGCTGGTTGATCAGTGCATCTCCGTTTCTTAGTCTTGTATTTTGCTTTAACTTCTTTGCCAAAGCCCTTTGTGAAAGTGGATTTTTTTCAAAGGCATTACATAACTTTACTATTTTGGTAGCATGGGATGCTTCACAAGGTGGATAAAGCAGGTATAGAGTAGCAAACTGATTTCTACAAGGACTGACAAGTATCAGCTGTTGATCTTAGTCCCACTGCTCTTATTCATGCCCTCCCTTTTCTTATTGACCTCTAACAGTGCAGTCATTAATGTATAACCTCATGGGCTTGCTTCCATGCTGCACAGATGTATTCTGTAGCCAGGAGGGGCATATTTTGGAGTTCTGGCTTTACTCCAAGTTGCTTTGGCTTTTTTCACCCCTTTTTTTCTTAGCAGTCCACATTAGAAGACAGGCTTAGAACTGTGGTGTAACTCTTCCCAGGTGTTTCCCAGTACAAAACATCTTTTACCATCCCAGCTGCTCTCTCTAAATCCCCGTCTGTCTCTGGAGCCCTCATGGTGTTACTTTCCAGATTTAATATTAGTTTCTCTCTTACCTTGTCTTGGTTTTGTGGTTTGGCTCTTGTTTGTAATGCAGGTCTGCAGCAGTCTTATTATTTACTGGAAAGACATTTTAATGAACCGTTAAAGGAAGAAGCTGTCTGTGGGATTTCGGTTTATACCTGAGAGATGAAAGAAGAACTTGGCAGGTATATTGATGATGAGATGATTCATATAGATTTGCTTCAACATTTATCATCCCAGCAGTCTCCAAGAATAAAATCTTAAATTTAATTTAAAATGTTTTTATCTATTAAAACTTTACTGGTGTTCTTGATTGTGAATGCCCATCTTTGATCATTTTTTTTCTAATTATAACTATTGTTGAATATGTTGGTCATGACGCAGTCAGAAGTTTACTAATTGTGCTGAGCTGGTTTTGAGTGAGAACACCATGTCTCCACAACCTATTTGTGTGCAGAAGGGTGGCTCTCAGACGTGGACTAATTACAGCTGACTCAAATCAGGGTTCAAGCATTCACTGTTGGTCTTATGGTGACACATGTGAGGTAATACATGTCAGCTTGATTCAGGAGAAAGCTTGATCTTACCTTTTTTTATTGAGTCCCCTCCCCCAAAACACTTGGACTGAGGCACACACAAATCTCTTTCCAGGCTTGATTTATAGCTGTTCAATGATCATTATACAAGTAAAATTTTGATTTAATGAACAATATGGCAAATGTCTTCAAATGATAACACAAGTTAATTTTTTATTTGTAAATGTATACACAGACAGGTATGTTAAATCAAACTAAACAAAAAGACATCACCCTTAAGCTTTATAAATGTGTGTTTGGGCTCTGTGTCTGGCATTTTGCTGCTATTGTTTGTCTCCATTTGTGTCCTTAGAGGGAAGAGACCGGACCTTGGTACTGAGTGGTTACTAAAAGCTTAGTTGTGTGGTATCTTTCAGACACTGTGGGTACAGCTATTTAATTGTCCCACTGTGCGATCCAAGAGTGTGGCTACTAAAATGTAATATATGTAGTGTAATGACTTGGCATGAGCAGAAATGTTGTGACTAGCCTAATAAAACAGAAAGTTTGAATTAGGCATGACAGATAAGATCAGATGTTTGGCAGTCCAAGGAATGGAGCAACTGCAGTAGCTAGAAGAACCAGAGACAGAGAAGATGCTTTCTATGGTACATCAGATAGACTTTTGTGTGCAGTTGCAGTGTGTTTAACTTTAAACTGACAGTATGAGGTTTAATTTTTACAAATGCATTCCTACATTCAGAAACATAGGCAGGATTCTCTGGACTGCCAAAGTGATGCAGTCAAACACGATGCGGATGGATCGTTATACACGGAGCAAGCCCTAACACATTGATGTTTATTCTGAGGTACATGTCAAGGATCCATAGATCTGTTTTTTTAACAAAAGGAGAGTTCATGCATGCACACACAAACGTGCACACAGACACACAAACACATTCTCCTGCCAAGTTTCAGCTTCCTTGATTCCTCTTCTGTCTGACTTCCAATACTCTGTTCTGCTCTTCGACCTATAGTGCCTCTGCTGACACAGATATGTTGGGATTGTACCTGTGAGCTGCCTCAGATCCAACACCCTTCACCCAGCCATTGGTTCAGTGGTGGTGTAGCGTGTAGATGCACAAAGTCAGTCTGCAGAGACTCAGTTTCAAGCAGTTCTAGACGCCAAAGAAAAAAACTGTTTGATTTGGCTATAAGACCAAGGGCTTGGCAGTGCTGGAGTGGTGTCAAGCGTTGCGGTATCCGGTCACACAGTAAACATTCATAAATCATGTTTGAAATCTACCTTTGTTTGTGTTTTAGGAACTTAAAACTGTGTGCAATACAAATTTTGCTTAATTGGTTGTCTTTATTTAGCGGTCAGCTGAGCTGTAACACAATTGCCTTTCGACACTCACTACAATCGACTTTATGGGTAAACATGTCGTCTTGTGGGTTTGCTAGGCAAATCAGAAAATACTGAGTTTGAGTCAGATAGCTGGCTGACTTGTGAACAAGGATTCGAGGGGAAACAAAGATTCTTGTGTTTGCTTTTTACGTACCCAACATTTTTGGCAAATATGTTTTTTATTTTTTGAAATGGTGTAAAAAAGCTGTGTGCTGTGGCAGGATATGAAGTTAGAATTAAATGATCAAAACCACAAATGACACTTAAATTTTATTTTTCTCAATGTATATTCCCTGTGCACATGTGATAAGGCATATGTGGGATAAAAACAGAAATACTGCATTGCCAGGATTGTTTGCATTTCATTTTCTTATCTTTCGTTCACTATAGTTGTTGTACTGAGTATAAAGTCTTTTATATTTATAGTAAAACACACGACTACACCAGGTGTTTCTTGTGTCTTGATGATACTCGTTTATTTATTTTTCCTGAGGTAAAATCCAGTGCTGATAACAATAATTTCCCAGTGTCTGAACTCGGTTTCCTCCCTGCGCCTTGTCGGTGTGGATTCTGTGGTCTGTGCTTCAAGCTGTTTAATCATACAAGACTCTACTCTGCCAGACTCTATAAGTGTCTATAATTTAAGATTTTCATTTATTCCACTTTACACAGTGTGTGTGGATGTTGTGTGAGTCTGTGAGCAAGATGAGGCATGACCCTCATGCCAGTAGGCCTGGGTACAGCATTGCCTTGTCAGGGAGGTAGTGATCAGGTTTCATAATCCTTTAGGGAGTTGTCAGTACTAGTAATATTCATGCAAATTAACATGCAACGAAATAAGGATTTCAGATGTTGACTGTATATTTTTAAAGCTGGCAAAGAAATTCATGTGTGGTAGAAATTTGCTTATTTTTTCTGTTTTTCTGTTTTCTGCAGGGGGACATCCAGCAGCTTCTGATTGTAGAGGATCCCAAAGCAGCATACGACTACTGTGAACATTACAGCCCAGACTGTGACACTGCCCTCAGCGATTCTTTGCAGGCACAGGAGCCAGAAGAGGTCAGGCAACCACCAGGGAGGGTGGTGGAGATTCCACAAATCAACCATAGTAGCTAACATAAAAATAGGAATATAAACTAAACTGTGACAGAGGAGGGGCTTAGATGTTTTAAAGCCTTAATTACCCTTCTTTTTATATTTTAATGTATTAAAATAAATTCGATATTGGGAAATACTCCCCAGGGTAAAGTGCAATGCTTTGACTTGATCTTTCACTGTTTCACAAACCTAAAGGTTTATGATCCTGGAGAATCAGTTCATCATTTGCACTAGAGTGATGCATGCTGACATACCGACAGACATGCAAAGCTGTTAGGATTTAATAATCATGACTAAAACTTCTACTACTACTGCAATGTTGTATTTTTGTTGCAGACTATACAAATAAGGAGTAAAAGAGTACTGATTGGCTGATTTTCCATTTGTGTTCAGTACAATACAGATATATTTATCCAACACATCCATGAATTCTCGGTTATCTGGAGCTGTCCAAAACCTGCCCTTTATTTTTTCACATACTCAGAAAGATGCCATAAATTGCACTATTGATTATTCATTGGTGAATACACAGTCATGTCAGAAGCTGCTGTACATCTGGCCACAGCGATGTCCTGGAAGGTGTATTTGTACCTTAAGGGCCAATATAAGTGTGATCTACCTGTTTTTGATCAATTAGTAACTGCTAAAAGAAATTCTACCTGCCTTAATATTTTAATCATTTAACCATGAAGGCATCATGTTGAGACTGCAAATTAAAGTTCAAAAGTCACCATCACTCCTTAATAAGGAACTGCTATATAATAGTTCCACTTTTATTTTTTTTAATCAGACCAGGTATTCCAGCTGATCTTAGAAGTCCTGTCGTGTATAATTTACATGACTTCTGTGAGAAATTTCTATTACGATGTCCCTGAAATGCTGCTTGTAATTTAGTCTCTGTTGTTTTTCTCTGTTTTATGAGATTTGACACCATCCCCACCTGTTTGCTTGTAGGTCAAACCTGTATTGCTAGATTCAGTATTAGTTTCCTAAAATAAGACTACTATTTAATTTAGCAACTCATTGTTATTTGAAGAGACCATCATAAAAAATATTAGCTATAAAATATACATATAATTTTCATGCATACACTATAATGGAATATAACATTGCATTACATTGTGTGTCTTGTAGCAGTTCAGATAATGCTTAATGTAGTTGAACTGTCAACACCTTACCTCAAGCATATTTTCTAACTGTTTGCTGTTTAAACACATCGGATGATGAAGCTGATTTAAATTATGTGTGTCATTTTCTTGTTGAAAGAAGTTGAAAGAAGATGTGTCTTGCTATTGCTAACATGAAAACCTCTCTCCCTCCTCTGTCATCCTCTCCAGTACACTACTGATGATTTAGATTACTCTGTGTTTGATGAGTATTCAGAGGGAACGACAGAAACCAGTCCAACCTATGATGATTTTGAGCCGCAGGTAAATGGAAAAAGCGAAGGACAAGATGTTTTTGCGCTGTCTCATTTAGATTTTGGTTCTTTCGTGTATTGTCTCCGTGTCCCACTGTTATGTTTACATTCATGTCAAAGCTAAAAAGGTCGACTTGCCCTGCGACATGAAAATATTGAGATCATGCCCTTAGTGTGCAGTACTGCAGGTGTAAATTTGAATGTGGATGCAAACATACACAGTGTGCTAGTCCCGTCTTGTCTGTCTACAGCCTTCTCTTGGAATGCCATCTGCTTTAAGTGAATTTCCAGCATATCTTTGAAAGTACTGTATACACTGTGGAATATCAGCAACTCTGTACTCTTCTGTGGATTTCATATCTATGCATTTATTTATTTGTTTTTTGTGCGCTTGTGCCTGACTGTGTCCTAAAATCGTTCCTGTGTGTCACATGAACAGCTCAGTCCTTGATTGTTGTACAGCACCCTGTTCTACCCAACTGTCACGCAGTAGTATTAACATGATCAGGGCTCCAGTTGCAGCCCTTTTTAGTTGATCTGCATGAACAATATGTAAAGTGATACGTGCAGACCAAGTACTGTGTATCCAGCTGCTTCTGGAAACACAATTGTATTGAAAAAATACTGTACATCAATCAAGGAGTGTGGCTTCAAATCATTTCCATTTTCCATTTTCCATGTTTGGTATTATTTATCAACGTCACCTCTTCCAGAGAAAGAAACGTAGTCTGTCCTCGAAAAAGAAGATGACCAGAAAGCCCCCCAGTAAAACTAAGCCCAAGCCCTTAAAAGCTAAAAAGTATTCCACTAAGAAGAAACATCAGATGCCTGGCTACCAGGCTACAGCACCGGAGCAACACCGAGGCGATATTAGGGTAAAAATTCATTTCGAGATTAGAGAACATCCCATCAAGATCTTCCCGCCCTGAATTCAGAAGGGAAAATCTGTGATGGCAGATTTCAGCCTCGCTAACCTTCTCAGTGTAGAGGTAGCAGCGACTTCAGTCAGCTTGAGAAGACCTCAGCAAATAACCTCTAGTCTGAGCTTTTATGCTAACCTTTATTCTTCTTTGCTTTTTTCAACATGACTCAGATAAACAATTTAGAAGGAGATTACAATACAGACATTGACTACGGAACTGTAGATGGTACTCACACTCAGTCCCCCTTTGCCACGAGTGGACCCTATGAGGTAATTTTCAACTCACTTCTGTGTTAGTTATTTTGGGGAGTATGAACCAGGATTTTACCCAAGGAAGTGCCTGGTATGATATGACAAAGACATGGAGATTCAAGTCAGTGAATCTCTGTCTTTTGACCTTTGAATTGATGGACAGAGGATAATTTTAAATGCTTAAAAACAAAAATACACACACACAAACATATATATACATATATATTAGTGCTGTCAGTGTTGATCTCATAAAAATTACGCTGTAACCGCATTAACGCGGCAAATCTCCATTAGCGAGGATTGCCCCGTTTGTGGGGCTGCACGGCATCAACGGGTTAGCTTAGTTAGCTCGTATATATACATATGTGTGTGTGTGTGTGTGTGTATATATATATATATATACATATGTGTGTGTGTGTGTGTGTGTATATATATATATATATACATATGTGTGTGTGTTTGTATGGCAGAAGCTGTGTCATCCAAAAATACTGATTGTAAATTATTTAGCAGAGATTATCTGCTAAACAAAAAATAAAATTTCCTGTTGTCCATCACAACATGAGCCTTGTGTTGGTCACTATTTGTTCTTATTACCTTGAAAAGAACTATGATCAAAAGGCTTAACGCTCACAGCCAGCTATGACTGTGCATTGTATACTGCAGTTTTTGACAAAGTTGATGTGATTATTTTAATGCTTAATTTGCCTAAATGTCCACAGCAAGTGTAATTGCATCCACTTTGTCTTGCTCTAGAACTAAATCCACAGCGATCACCACTGTGTTTGAAAAGCACTATTGTGCCAGGTAATCGTGGTTGTGGTGAAAATCGCTGTGGCTAAAACATTTTAATAGAAATTGATTTGCTAATTTTGATTTTATTTGCGTTTCAGTTACTTCACTTCAAATAATTTGATGTTTTTGCAAGTTGCTGATGTCTTTAGTGACATCTGTTTGAGCCTTTCTTTGCTTTTTGCATCAGTATGCCATTTACAGAACGGCCATACGATGAGAGAGAAAAGCAGGCTCGGATAACATCAAGCCTTTCTTTATATCTATGATTGCCAAACTGATAATGATTATGTTTTGTTATCATGGTAACACTTTATTTATTCCTTTTTTTCTGGTATAACAAGTAAATTTATTGAAATACATATATCACAGTACTTGGCTGTAATGGAGTGATATATTGAAGAGTGAAAAGAGTGTAGTTGTTTTTCTCACATTAAAGATAATCTAAGATTGACAATATGGTATTCAAAATAAGTGAAGTGTTACCATTTCTTTTCTTTTCTGCATTTCCTGTTGAATGAACTTGCAATTTTCTTTAATAACATCTTAAAATGGATTATTTTACCTCAGTCGCTTAACTAACATTGTCATTTCCTTGGTTGCTCACTATTATCCCCACCCCCTTGGCTTGGTTAACACATGAAAGGCTGAGGAGGAAGATGTTGTCGGTGCATATGTCACCGAGGCCACTCACGTTGCTCCAGAGCCCACCGTTGTTGCAGAAGCACAGGACACCTTGGATACTGGTGCGGACGCATATGACTTTAAGGAGTATGACCTAAACCAGTATGACTTGGGCGAGGTTGACAGCAGGTTGTATGATTATGGGGCGTATGATGAGTATGGCACAGCCCTGCCTAAACCTGAGGCGACCTACGATGATGAGGTGGGGCCTGGGGTCGCTGCTGAAACCGATGTTTCGGAGAGTACTGTAAGTATCACACCCGGACCTGGTGACTGACGGGTGTGCGCATGAACAGCATGCATTAGAGACTCTGTGTGTCGTGGTTTCACTTAGTCCTTCAGTGCACGTCTTCTTTGTTTGTTGCTTGGCATGGGAAATGCGTCATTGACACGTTAAGTGTGGAATCAGGTGATCTGCTGCTGTTTCAACAGTGTGTGTCTGGTGATTCAGCGGTCATAGGGACTATGCATGCATCTATTTCGCTATAGTTTTTGTTATTAAGGTGGATTTCTATTTAACATAGCACAGACACTTATTCCATACACATCTTTTAATCAGTGTATGCTGACCCAGCCTACACCCACTGATACCAAACAAGGCCTATTGCACCTCCCTACCCACCTCATCTTTCAGCAGCTGGCTGTGATCCCTCCCTCTGCTCGTCTCACTGTGGACTGCAATTAGCCTATAAATCGTAGGCAGCTGTCTGCATAGTGCACCCACACAGTTGTAAAGAACATGCAGACTTTACTAATCAACAGTTTGTCACAGTATGTTATTTAGTCAGTATAAAGACCATATAAATTAACATAACTCCTCATTTTGTGTCTATGTTGGAAAATTTGGCCCCAACTTTGTGCTAAATGTACACAACCAGACTCCATTAAGTGCATTATGTGTCTGTGCGCCTTTGGGTATTGATACTGTAGAATGTTAAGATGAGGCCTTATATGCCTTTTACTACCCATCTCACACACAGCTCACCCAGACTTGCACCTTCTAATCTCACCACACCTTCTCCACCTCCATAAGGAAGAACTTACTCATATTATACATTTGTTATGTTCAGCTACTCATGTGTATTTGCTAAATTGCAATGTTGGAAAAATAATGGGAAATAAAATATACTAAATTTACATAGATAACCGCTGGTATGTTATATTGGGTGATCATTTATTAACCACACTGCTCAGTGACGATGCAATGACAGCACGACTCCATTTCAAGCATGCAGAGGTCCGTTGTCGCTCATGAGGATTACCCTTCTTCTTTGTTAGTGTTTGTTAATGTCTCGCTTTGTATTATCCATGATTTACTTAGTCTAGTGCTATTTGTACCTGTGGAGAATAACTGCTCCATGGTTTAGCTTTACATTTATAAAACTGCCTCCACTTTTCTTGCTTAACTGCAGGTCGCTGGTTCCGTAGCAGGCTTTGGACAGAAGGGAGAGAAGGGCGAGCCGGCTGTGATTGAACCTGTAAGCTCCAAAAAGTCGATAATTGTCCAAATATTATGACTTATTATCACTTTCCTGGTACACATATTTTTTAGAAAAATGTTATTCTCAGAGCGAGCAGTCTCACTTTTATTAGAACTTTAAATCATATTAAACCCAAACGAAATAGTGACAAACCCAAACCACAGTTTTATTTATATACTTCTTTAAAGATCCCATTGCAGTGCTATCTAAACATCTCCAGAACACAATTTTTTCCTATTATTATCTAATCTGGAACTTATCTATGATACTGCTTTTGCATATCCCACTATTTGTGGTGATAAACACTTTGCTTGTATTTTAAGGGCATGCTAATTGAAGGACCACCAGGACCCCCCGGCCCAGCAGTGAGTATATTTTTTTGGGAAAAAAAGAGACCTAATTATGCGAAATTATCAACTCTTGTCAGAATTTCCTGAGTTGACACTCCGTTGGTCTGCTAACTTTGTTTTGCTTATTCAGGGTCTTCCAGGACCAGCAGGCCTACAAGGACCCCCAGGCACCTCTGGAGATCCTGGGGACAGGGTAGGTTTATCATTTATGTCTCCAAGCTCATAGTTTTTTATGTGGATTTACTCTGAATTCTGAATTCAACTATGTTCTTTCCGGTTATACTCTTTCAGAAAATGAATGTCTGGACAGCTTAATAGACACTCCGAATTAGTGAAATTATTTTGTTATAGGTTCATTTATTGGTAGACTTCATTTACGCGTTGAAGAATAACGATCTGTGTCAGTGTTTTATATGTGAAAGGAAGGCAGTGTGAGGAATAGAAATTTTATAGCACACTAATTGCATTGAAAACTGCATTGAGAATAATACTGAATGAACTGTGTGTAGCTTACCATTAAAAGTTAATATGAATATCAAACACTAGTGATCTTGGGGGCATTACTTGTGCTACACACAGTTCACTGAAATTAAACTTCTTGTTGTAAGAATGGTTAAAAGCAAGTTTTAGCACATTCAAACTCTGACAGTCATTCATTTCTACAATAGTGCACTTGAAAGTGTATTAATAGATTATTGTCAGTAGACAGAAATAGTCTTGAGCTGTTATTTTCACTTCCTTGCTGCTCATCATTAGCATAAGCAGCAATAGCCAAGGTGAGTGAGACTATACCTGAGATGTAAAGTATTGTTATAAAAGTCTTAAAACCAACTGTTCCACAGTTCTGCTGCACGCTCACACATGTGCACAAATACGGCTAAAAAGAAAAGATGGAAAAAAGGTTGTTAGTTTTGGATTGCAGATGGTTGTATTGCTCACCGATGGACACTCCTAGTATCTGTGCAATTAAGAATTTATGTTAATGATATGAATAGAAATAGCACAATATAAGATTAAAACTTAAACTAAAAAGGAGCAAAAAAAGTAATAAATCACCTGAGTAGAGATTCAGTAGTTTTGTGTGTCCAACATCAAACTAGTCTATATATATTGTAAAGTTGACATCTTCTTGTTGCCATCTATACACCTAAACAGTGTCCCGAATGTAAATAGTATAGTTTTGATGCTGTCATGACACAGCCTGTCTACAGACATATGGACAAACAAACACGCAGCAAATTGCTGTGAATCCTGGTATAGCAGGTATCTGCGCGTCTGCCTTCTTGCCGTGATGACACACACATACACAGACACATGATTACAGCCACACTAGCTACATCAGTGTGTCGGGTAAAAATTGTAATTTTGTAGCTCAGATAAAGATACTTCTTATGTAGTTACAGATGGACAGAAAATGTAAAAAATGTCAAACAGGGCTGTAATCTGGGAAGAGGAAAAAAGTACTCAGTGAGGGTCAGTGTAACCCATCTTTGACCAGAGCCTTAATCTGAACATGAACTATGCAGTTTAGTTAAAATCTATAGATCGACAGAGAGATATATAAACACCCAGCAAATTAGTAAAGGCAATCATTTTGTTTAAGTGTCAACACACACACATACAGAGTCACAGGGTGCACTGATGAAAGTGCAGAGCATATAGATAATTATGTTTTTATATTTTGTATAAATTTGCTTTCCACCCCCTCGTGTTTGAGTCATTTTAGCGATCTGTACCATCATAAATTCTTGAATTCAGCCAAAATATAAATGGTAGTACATACAAAGATTCAATTCCATTCAATTCAATTTTATTTCTATAGCGCCAAATCACAACAAAAGTCGCTTCAAGGCGCTTTATATTTTTCCAGTAGATCGCACAATAATAGATACAGAGAAAAACCCAACAATCCTATGACCCCCTATGAGCAAGCACTTTGGCGACAGTGGCAACAAAGATGTGACAAAGTCCACAGGAAACTGCCAGAGAGCTTTTGCCACAACTGATTTGCTAATGGTTAGATGTTATAAACATAACCAGCTATGGAAATGTATTTTTTACACTTTTTTCACGTGCCATAATTTGTTTTCAATGTTGATGCTATTAATAATTTTTTGCCTCTTCTGTATCACAGGGTCCTCCTGGACGCCCTGGTCTGCCTGGTGCTGACGGTTTGCCGGGGCCCCCTGGTACCATGCTGATGCTTCCAGTAAGTGCTCATACAGCAGAACTACATTCCATCCAAACTTATCATATATCCATAACCAAGATCATTTTTAGGATATTGCGTAGTGATGACAGAGTGAGCTGAACAAAATGCGCTGTCTGTGTGTGTCCAACAGTTCCGTTTCGGCGGGGATGGTGAGAAGGGTCCAGTGGTGTCGGCCCAAGAAGCCCAGGCGCAGGCGATCCTTTCACAGGCTAGAGTAAGTAGAAACAACATTTTAAAAGCCACAGGGAAACCAAAAGGCTGTGGACAAACCCCTACCCCCTCTTGCTGGCTACATAGAGCTGTAGGGGGAAAGGAGGGGAAGGAAGACAGAGACAGCATTTTGGTGAGGAGGGGTTGTGCTGCATTTTGTTGTCCTTGTGGGGCTAAAAGGAGACATGCCGAGTGGGCTAAAGAGCAACAGCATGAAAAGGCCACTTTGAACAGGTGGACAGGCAGGAGAGACTGTTAAAAATACTTCAGGGGCTCAGCGTCTGTGGGTGGGCTAAGAAACAGGTGTAGTCTTTGCATCTTTGTGGAAGAGGAGATGGGCACTTAGAAAAAGAGACAATTCACTTTAGACCCAATAACTGAACAGGTAAACCGAATAATTGCTAAATCTGATTATTAAATGTTAAAGTCATCACAATGAGACAGCAACTGGAGGATGATAAAGAATGTTTACTGCAGTCCAGATGAGAGGCATCTCAGAATAGGATGTAGTGATCATGTAGTGTGAGCAGCGCCACAACTTTCTTAACCAAGACCAAAAAAAAAGGATTATTAAGTGCAGACATGCCAGGATACTAGAAAACAGACTATCAAAATATGTAAAATGGGAAGGAAAATTCTGAAAAATGCATAAAGATATGCGTCATGTGCTGTTTATGCAGTTTGCAAAAAGTATTATGAATGTTTTTTTTGCCTCAGTGAAATTTGACCTTGCTCTTGTCTGTGCCCATACCTGCAGCTGGCTATGAGAGGACCCCCTGGGCCAATGGGTTTGACGGGAAGATCGGGGCCAGTGGTGAGTGAGAATTTATCCTGTGGAATTTATGCTGCAACACAGCTCTTCAATCTCTAAATATGTTTATTATTCATAGTTTTGTGTTTATTGTATTCATTAAAGTTGTCATTTACAGCCATTGTATATATCTGGAACAAGTATTCAAGATCAAGTTAATCAAATGCATATTTTTAAAAATGCAGTGTTTTATTAGATTGGATTATAAAATATCTTCTTTTGTTGCTTGTGCATTTTTCTTTGTACTGTTGGTACTAGAAGAAAGTACAATCAAATACAGAGTAGTACGTTTTTTTTGTTGCTCAGTGAAACAGAGGAAAAACACACATGTTAACAGCTGCTTTACATATTGCAACTGGGCAAACTTTTTTTTTCTTGGGCTTGTTGATACAAGATCCACAGCTTATCTCCAGGAAAAGACCCTACAAAAGACTTGCCCAGAGATGAATGCCAGATAAAACACCGATCTATCACTGTACCTGTATGTGTAATCTTAGGCCTCTGGTGCCAGCTAGACCTGGAGCTATCAGGCTAGTCTTGCAAATAAGTTTGAACTCTAACTTGGCACAAAGCGTTTAGAAGCTGATTGTTTGCAGCAAATAAAGATCAGCGTTTAAGCCAGGTGGATATAATCCATGATTCAAAAATCTGATAGGAGTGTCTTGCAGTTTATAATATCATATGTGCCAATTTGTGCTTAAAAATAATCGGTGCAGTGATGTTTATTTTGATGAGCATTGGTATATGGTTTGAGTGCTGTAAAATGTCGCCATCTGCTGTTTTTTTTAAAGAACTGTTTTCCATAATCTTTCCTGAAGGAAACTGTGAAAAAAGCTTGAAAAGATGTGTATATATAAGCATGCTTGGTTTGTGTTCTCTTACTTTAGGGTCCACCTGGCATTTCTGGATTGAAAGGTGAAAGTGGAGACCCTGGTCCTCAGGTGAGGGATAAGTTATGACTTAATGAATGGGTGAAAACATTTCACACAAACTGAGAAACAAATAGTGCTGCTGATCACCAAACTGGTCCTCATGTGCTTTTACAGGGTCCTCGTGGCACCCAAGGTCCCCCAGGGCAGCCTGGCAAGGCAGGCAAGCGGGTGAGTGAACTCACTCACCTCCAGCACTTGCACTGCAGTGTGTGTGTGTGTGTGTGTGTGCTTGCATGCCTCTGTGTTTGTTGTGTGGTTGTTTGTACTTGTCGTCTCTCCTCAGTAGCTGAGAAGCTTATTTCCACTCCAACAAACAATTGCTTGAGATGTGCTTAAAGGCCTGTGGTCCCTCCAATCCTCGGATCAATGGCTGGGCAGTTAATCTGTCTGAAAATGCCAAAACATTAACACTGACTATGAATGTAGGGTGCAATTAGTGTCACGGTTCAGTCCCTCTGCAGGGCCAAACATCGTGACCTAATTGGATACTAATAAACATAAACCAGTCATTTGCAAGTTAGTAATACAAGCTTAATTAAAATGCAGGACCTTAGCTGATTTTAATGTCACAAAATGTGATTAAATATTGCTTAATTAAATAAACAGTATGCAAGCTAGTTATGTATGGATGCAGTGGATGAAATGTATCTTGCACTGTCATTTCTAACGTTTTCCCTAAAAACTAGTGAGGCAAGGAGGAGATAGAGTTAATAAGAGAAATGTAAGCTGCCCTTCAAAAATGAGTCAAATCTGAAAAATAAACATATTCTTTGGTTTTAATTCATTATTTACTGATTATAACAACCAAACAAATACTCATTTTCTTCATCTATCGGTAAGAATTTGCAACATCCAGGAAGCCAACTGGTTCACAGGAAGAGTAAATCTAAATGAAAAAACAAATATTGACATTTTATCTGATGATATAAATAGAACGTAGTCGCTGGTAGTTTTCTACAGAAATGAAAAAGGAGACTGATACTAAAATACAAAATAGAAAAGTGCGTGTTTTTAAAGCAGATATAACAAAAAAAAATATTATCTTACTTATCTAGAATCCCATAGTTATGTTCTGAACGTCTCCGCGGTATCAAAATCTGTGTTCATATTTTTAATCTCGCTTCTGTTTTAAGGGTCGTGCTGGAGCTGATGGTGCCCGTGGGATGCCTGGAGAATCAGGTTCTAAGGTACAAATGCTGCTACATAACATTTAAAGTTTATTTCACTAGAAAAGAGCAAATAGTGGAAGTGCTCTTGTCCATATAAAGATTGCTTTTGTAATATTGCGTACTGTTTCCTTACAGGGTGACAGAGGATTTGATGGACTTCCTGGGCTGCCTGGTGAAAAAGGACACAGGGTGAGCATAATATGGCACTTCATACGTTAAATCATGTGCAGTCTGCTCCTTTTGCAGAGCTCTCTGATTTAGAATAGCTGTGAGATTTATCCACTGAGAGTAAATATAAAACAGAGCATCGTTTGCCCGAGAAACAACTCTAGATGTTTTTGAGCAGGTGAACAAAACACTGCTTCCTCGTGTGATAAGTCACAAAACTGGCATTAAAACAAACTCTCTCAGTTATACAGGATTAGCCGTCTTAGATTACAATAATAACCAAAGGTTTGGATATCTTGGATCTCTTTTAGTTGGCTGTAGTGGGTGATGTAGTTTGGAATTTCAGTATCTTTCTAAGATCATGTTGAGTAACATCCTTAAATTTCCGTGTGCTGAGTGAAGAACTGTTATGCCAAGAGGGGAAAATGGATTAACAATTTATAATTTGCTACATGGCTTCCACTAATGTACCTGCATTAATCACGCACTGAAGCTCGGTAATTGGTTTGTACATTGAAAAATTACCAATGAAATCACTGTCGAGTACGACATCCTGCCTGTCACCTGGTTATTCGAAATCTGTGTTATGATGTCGTATTTGTTTCATTCCGAGCAATGGTTTATAGCATCAAAGGTTTGGTATGAAGGCTTTTACAGTATAGTGAGATGCAGCAGGAAGTGAAAACATAATGTGTTTAGTATGCAAGGATGAAGAAACAAAAAAGTAACCAGTGTTTGAAAGGACACTAATGTAGTTTTCAAATTAAAAGCTCCAACTAGAAAATTCTACAAAATAAATAAAAGAACATCATAATGTGAGATATTAACCTCAACCTGTGTGTCTTTCTGATCTCTTTCTTCTTTTTCTTAGGGAGAACCAGGACCAATGGGACCCCCAGGTGCCCCTGGAGAGGATGGACAGAGAGTAAATGCTTCCTCTTTTATCTCACAAATACCTGCACTCAGCTGAGATGCATCACCAACATACTTATTTAGATCAGATGTGCTTCACCAGCTCAGCCCTCAGGCAGCAGCAGCTGGGTTGAGACTGGGAACTGGGAACGAGGGGAGGTTGTGTCTAACCTTTTCTTCTTATGAAACTACCTTAACCAACTCCTGGCTGTTGGTGCATTCAGTTATGTTTGCAGTGGTTTAACATAAGCTGTAACTGATAGAGGATTTTGAGCACCTAAAATTAAAAGTGATGATTACTAATATATAATGCAAGATGCCACTGTTTACTTCCTGGTCTGGTTTATTTGAATTAATATGATAAACGCTAAAAGTTCAGTAAAGATCATTATATTTCATTTTCTCTGATTATGTCTGTTTCTTCCCTCAGGGCGAGGATGGAGAGATTGGGCCTCGAGGATTAGCTGGAGAGAGTGTAAGGCTCCTGGTTTTATTATATCATGCCATCCCAGATCTATGAAATTACAACAAGCTGCAACATGATCTTCCTTAAGTCATTTAAAAAAGCTAACACAAGCATCCAGCAGGGGCAGTAGTGCCCCTCTGACAATTATTCATGAATATTATGACCATAAAACAATTCTCAGTTTACTTGAACTCGTTTGTTCCTCATAGGGTCCAAGAGGTTTGCTGGGACCTCGTGGTCCTCCAGGACCCCCTGGATCACCTGTACGTACTCTGACTTTTACCATGTCCCCATGTAGTATCACTGCCTGCAATTAATATGATCGGTCACGAGTCTTGTTTAATGTGTCCTCTGCAGGGTGTTGCTGGAGTTGATGGTCCTCAAGGTCCAAAAGGAAACATGGTACAAACACAGATTCCTCATTATTATAGTCACCAACATGTGACCATATCAGCTTTTAGTGCTGCAGATCTTCAGACCCTGGGCTGAACTATACAGATGCTTTTACTCAGTGCGCATTGTTAAAGTTAACTTTTAGGTTGTAGAATGCACAGCTGTGAGATCAAAGGTTCAGTGCTCAGTTGTGAGTCTGCTGTGATCATTATATCTTAAAGATGTGTTAAAAGTTACATTATGTTAAGATAAATATATATAAATAACAACAACTTACAGAAATGTGTTATTAATAAGTTTTGCTGCTTTTGAGAATTAAATGTCCACCAAGAGTATAGCCTCTCTTTCATTTATTTCTGTCCTGGACTCCTAAGTAAACATGCTGTGGTATTTTAGGAAAGAGTGGAATTTTTTGGACTTTGCTTTTGTAACCAAAGTAAAATACATTAAGCTCAGTAAAAAGGCAGCTATATTCCAGATTGGAGTATATGAAGCAGATTGGGAAAAGTAGGCATACCAAAATATTTCAATTAGTTAATTAAACTCTTCTGTAACTTATCCCCTGAGATATCATTGTTTTTTCTTTGTGATCTGGAGAGTAAATAGTCCTGGCGACAGAGCACACCTGTTAACAGTGCCACACTGGGTGTAATTCAACTGCACTGTATTTGTGAGAGTTGCTCCGGGAATAATGTTTCTTGTCTAGTTTTGACAGTCTTCTTTTTTTTTCAGGGACCTCAAGGAGAGCCAGGCCCACCCGGGCAGCAGGGAATCCCTGGGACACAGGTGAACGAATCAATCACGAGGTGTCATCACTGCACCTGAAACAAGCAAAGACAAGTGCAGTGCAGGGATATTTTCCATGGACTTATCTTAGGAGAAAAACTATTTGTTTGGTTTGGTTTTCATTGTCTTTGTGTTGGTTTAATTCCTGCAAAGCTTCTACAACTGTTGCTTCAAGCTGACACACACCCACACATACACACACATAAATATATAAGCACATATCAGATAGTGTTATGTTGTGCTTCAGTGGAAAACATTATGAGGTCAAAGAAAAGCGTGAGGCAGAATTCATAAGGACCTAGGAAAAGAGAAGTGCAGCGGTCAGAGAATCTCAGACAGCTTAATAATGTGGCAGCGGATGTTGTTGATGTGGTGAAACAGTGTCTCAAAGATGGACTACACAAAATACATCTTAGATGCCTCATGCAGTGTTACTGTGCTGTTACATGCAGGTCTTATGAAAGAGAGAAATCAGTGAAAAATATCACTTTGTTACAAAGGACGGAATTCGGACTCATCATTAAATACAAATAACGTTCACCGGAGAGGTCACCTCTCATTGAAGGTTCAAATTTTATCAGCACGTTTTGGCATCAAATAGAAACGGCACTACTAATGAACATTTAGCTGTCACATGTCAGTGATGCTCATTGCAGTTAATGATGTTCATGTATTATGTCGCTATGAATAATGGGAGGGCATTATCTCCTTTCACTTCATAAAAGGATTGGTCTAGTCTATCTACTGCTGAAGGAGGGGATGAAAGAATCACTGGAGCACCTTTCCTTAGTCATTAGAAAATTCATCCAGTTTTTATTAAGGGTTATTATGGCTGCCACTAAGAGAGATTCTGTGTCACTTCCCTCTGTTAGGATTCTTCCTAAGCAAGTTTGACAGTTTGCTTGTAGCCTCTGTATACACTGAGCATTGGTTTAAAAAATGACACACAAGTGGGGAAAAGGGCACATGGGCCGACTGTCAGGCATAGAAGGCAAAGGAGCAAAGGTGGGAAGTAAAAATACAAGACAAATGGGAAGACGAACTTTCACAGTACAACGGAAAGTAACCAAAAGATAAATAACTAATGCTGAAAGACATGAAGACAAAAGCATGGGAAACAAGGACAGAAACACAACCAAACCAACAAATATAAAGGGCAATGGCAGGTAGGGACTCAGAAATGCATATATGGGAGCACATAAACAAATATTTAAGGATTTGCAAGAATGCTAAGGACCAATATACCCCACTTAGAAAGAACAAGCACACTTAAACACACAGGCTTAACATTTCTTTACCAGCTAAACTATTTACAGCTCCAACAAATGCTTCAGTTTATCCAGCTTGCGCATGTGTTTGAGCATGCCTGTTGTTGCTATATCGACTCTCATCTCTATCTGTCTCTTGTTTTGCAGGGTCTTCCTGGTCCTCAAGGCTCCATTGGACCACCTGGAGAAAAAGTGTGTTTATTTCTGTCTTCATTATTTGAAAGCTTATTATTAAAGCATTACGGTTTGTACCTGGTGAATGAAATGTTTGTTGGTACAAAAAAACGTAGTCTTGTGCGAGGAATTATTAAGTTGCCGAATCAGTAAACTGTATTTGATATAAGATATAAAGACCCATGATTTGATGTAACTTTTGCATTATTTGGCAAAATAAGGCAAATTTGGTATCTGCAGGTTAGCAAGATTCATGCTAAGTATGCTATGTACTGCATGCTTCTTTGTCATGTCTCTTTGTTAAGGAATTTATCTAACTACAATTTAAAATTTAAATTCAGTTTATTTATTTTTTGTTTATGATAGAATTTCTTTTTCCTTGAGTTTTCTTTCATCAAAACTAAGAATCTATGCTAAAGTCAAAAAGTTGCATTTAGCTTATTTGAACCTGCACGTGACCTTCATAAGAATCCTGGACGTTTTTTTAAATCTGTCTTTTTCTTTTCCTCATGCAGGGACCTCAGGGCAGGTCGGGGTTGCCTGGATTACCTGGAGCTGATGGGCCCCCTGTGAGTGCTCTTGTGACCTAAACACATGCATACTGTATATCAATATTACATACATACATATCCCACAAAAAAGATAATCTAACACCACTTTACTCATTTAATATTCACTAAAATTGTGGGTGCTATTTTTTACTTTTTATTTTGTACTAGTATTAGTAGTAGTTTAGTACTGCCGTTTAAATATGGGGAAATTGTGCACTTTTATATAACCACCAAGTTCAAAGATAGCTGCACAGCTAAAGTACTTACGAGATCATTGAGGATTAGCGAAACAATAGACATGCAAAGTTTAGTTTGTGGACAATCCACTTTGAGAGCCTTTCCTTTATTTGTTTTGCAAAAATAAAGGGAAGTTTTAGTTCCCATAGATTAAGAATTTAACTATGGGTGCTGAGTAGATGAAATGGACATTTTGCTAAAAATTGTTCTTAAGTATGCAAACAAAAAGTGCAGTCATTAATAAAAAATCAAACCAAAACCCAAGTTAAATTAGTTACATGCTTCCCCTTAAAAGTCAGGAACCATGTCTGGAACATTGTAAAATTGTGGTGGCCATAACTCACACAGATTGAAAATTTACATGTGGAGGTGGTTTTGAGAATATTCGTCTCACACGTCTCACCTGCAAGTTATCAGAAGTTGTGAAAGCAGAAAAAATAAAAAGCTTATACCGTAAAATAAGAACCATTCATTCAAATGACCTGAAACAACAGTATTCTCTATTGAATCCTCTGCATAAACCCACCAAGTGGAAAGTAGATTGCTAAGAAAACAGACAGCGCACACACAGATGCACACATATACAGTGACTCCTTGACTTATTTGTGTTATACCTTCAGTCTGTTGGTAATGATTTTTGGAAATGGCCCGATTTTTTGTTTGTTTGTTTTTCTTGAAATATCTCATATGCATTTGAGACTATAAATGAAGTTGTTGTGCAAGCTATGTGCTTCAAAAAATGCACATGGACAATATTTTGATTTTTATTTAATCCTTTTTGTGCAACATGGCAGAACTGTACCTCAGACATCTCTCGTGGCATTTTCCATCACCAGAAATTTGATAAATAGCCTACGGGATTTGTTATTTCGACCCGTAGTTGTTCATGTCATACCTCCTTCACTGCCCTTACTTGGAGAGGTGTGTAAGTTCAACAGGCAGACAGCCTTAGCTGGCCTCAGGCGCCAGAGCCTGGTGATTTACAGCCCTCTACCTCAATGTCACACTTCAGATCGGGATGTCAGAGGCCAAAGGATCCATTATGTTTGTGGGCAACCTGTCTGTCTGTACGATAAACCTTACTTCATCAGTGGCCATCACACAAATATCTAATTTAATATTATTACTAGAAAAACTTGTACTTGTAGTATATCTGCTAATATACTATGCTATTGTTTGCAAAAAAGCACCATAGAGCACACAAGTTTACCCTTATAATTAATGCAGCATTGTGTGAATGCACTACAATTCAGCTTTGCTCTGAAATAGTAACTCTTTTGTTGGTTTGCCATGTGTTTGAAGGACAACACAAAAGCTAGAAATTGATCTTAATATGAATTCAGAAAGAAACGCTGGGGTTCTTTTTTGTGAAGTTGCTTCAACATCATAAACGGTTGCATCACGTAGCTCAGTGACACACATTAGGTCAAAGCATTCACTAAGTTCAATAGTTTTGCAAGTTTTAACCATGTTGTGATGTCTTTGTTTTGTTTTGCAGGGTCATCCTGGTAAGGAGGGGCCACCTGGAGAGAAAGGAGCCCAAGTAGGTGTTTTGAAGTCACAGAATTTTATCTTATTTTTATTTATTTTTTTATTTTTTTCATTTGTTCATTTATTCATTCATTCACTTTTTAATTGTTATTCATATTCAGATCACATAACCTTTTGTTAACTGAGCTTATGTTGTGCCAGTATTTAATATTACAGTTTAGCTTGGTTCAATAATTGACCAACACTGATTGTTTACGATGCAATTGTAATGGCGAACCATCTTAAATTGACACTAATTGGGTATTTAAATATGTAATTACAAGTTATTATTAATGCCATCTGCATTTATCTGCTAAGCGTTAGCCCCAGTAATCATAAACTCTTTCTTTGCTCCAGGGTCCATCAGGCCCACAGGGTCCCATTGGTTATCCTGGTCCTCGTGGTGTTAAGGTATGATGTTTGATGAGGCATGTATTTGATTGTCCAAACGCTTTTTATTATTCTACAGGAGTTTGTCCTGCTAGACATCATTGTCATCATTCTAATCTCTGGCTTCTGTCCTGCAGGGTGCAGATGGTGTCCGTGGTCTCAAGGGATCAAAGGGAGAGAAGGTATATATGTCTTTTTAAAATATATATATTATTTTACACAATTTTTTTTATATAAAATATAAACAAAAATAGCTTAATAATTATACATAATGTATTGCTAAAGTCAAAGTAAAGAACCAAATGGGAGTCAGTTCAATGGGATAACTCCCTTGGTTTCTGTTAAGGAAGTTGGCATAGTGAATTGCAGACTGTCAGTCTAAACTTCATCTTGTGATAAAACTGAAGGCATCAAAAATAATGTTTGGGAACAGCTAGTAGATAGTTGAACGTCACAGGCAGGACCTCTCCAACAGTGGCTGTTTACCAGCACTCCCAGCTTTGGTTTGAGTCCTTTGAGCTGAAGTGGACAGCTGCTGGAGCCTGAATGTAGAGGTCAGTCGATAGCCTTCTTCAGCAAAGACGGAGACTTTCTTAAAGTGACCCTCGATCCACTGTTGAATGTAAAGCTGTCATGCTCTAGAATATTTTTGAAAGCCCACTACAATCAACTCCAAGCAGTTTCTGAAGTGTTGAACTGTGCATGTATCCATGTAGAATTTAAACTAATATTTTTTATATATAGATAGGCATAACTTTTATTCAAGATCAATACAGCTGTGTCACTGTAAAAAAAATCCATTATCTGACTGAGAGATGTTGTTCTTACTACAATGACAGGTATTCATATCATTTTTTATTGAATTATTTATAGCAAGAGATCCAAAAGCCAAAACCTCGAGGAGAAAGCGTTTGTTATGAATAAAGGATGTGCTTTTCTTGAGGTGTGTGCGTGTGGTCTTTGCGATGCGAGTTGGTGGCAACAGACGTGCTCAGTACTGCATTATGCATCAGAGAGTTGAAAACATGGACAAGTGAAAGTTTCAAAGAAAAGAGTAATAAGTTTGGATGAACTCAATCGTGTCCTTCAGTCCATTTATTCACAAAGTCAATAAACCCGAGCATCATTCGGTGTATTGTAGATATACTGAGTGTCTTGTGTCTTTAAAACTAGAGCAAATTATATAATGTTTTCTAATTTGGTACATCGGTATATAAACAGTCACAAATAAAAGTGAATGGGCACTGCTGCAAATGTAGAGGATGAAAATGTCAACAGCTTTACGTTTCCATGCAGGTGCTATTCCACTATCTGACCAGCAGATAGCACTGTCAATCCTGTGATTTACACAGTGAACCTAAGAAGGCTGAAGCTTTAAAAGATTTTCAAAAAATAACTTTTAAAAAAAAGTTTCAGGGAGTTTCTTAGAAAAAATAATCAATTTCAGACAGTTAAACAATGCTTTTAGCAAGAATATAGTAAATTAACCCCAAAAATGCCAGAAAATTCACTAACTTCTCTCATTTCAGGGTGAGGACGGTTTCCCGGGTTTCAAGGGGGACATGGGAATCAAAGGAGACCGGGTGAGGAGCTTGACTGAAATAAAAACACTGATGACTCAACATTTAGTTGAATCTTTACTATTTGGATGGAAAATTAAGATATGTTGTTATATATTTGTTGATTGTAGGGTGAAATTGGTTTGATTGGGTCCCGTGGAGAGGATGGTCCTGAGGGTCCTAAAGGCAGAGCTGGGCCCCCTGGTGAATCTGGTCCTCTTGGTCTTGCTGGAGAAAAGGTAACATAGCTCTGACTGCAGTTGTGCTAAAATTGTATTCCTGTGCTTACTTGTGGTGTTAATGTCTCTCAGGGTAAACTGGGTGTCCCAGGATTGCCAGGTTATCCTGGAAGACAAGGACCTAAGGTACGTTTGTAAAAATCAAGTTTTTTTGTTGGTGTTTTTCTTGGATAATAATAGATAACAAATATTAAATGGTGGTTTACTTTGTTGGCTGTGGTACTTCAAGTCATCGGGTTTGCCAGGTTACTCGGAAATAACGCAGCTGACAAACATCCCATATTATAGCACGCTGGTTATTTTAATTTTTTTTAGTTATTTTTCAAAAAAATATTTTAAAAAAATTGGCATCACTTTTTAATAAGGTGTCACTAACAAGGTTATAATTCCCTAAATGAGTAAACAACACAGCTTTATTTTGGCAGTGCAAAATTTTAGTGTTATTGCTTTACGGAGGTAAAGTTTGCCATGGATTCAATTTTTGTTGAATGTCCCCAATGCAACATTTGAGGCTCTGCAGAATAGGTAAGCTTTTTAAAAAAAAATCCCCCTGTTCACAGTATGATTACAGAAAATGTCACTTTGTCTCGTGTTTAAAGATATTTTGTGCCATGTTGTAAAGTTTCCCTCTTCTTGTTTCAGTGTGTCAATTATTTTATATGGACTGAGAAAATGTTCTTTAACAAGAAGTATAGTGCAGTATAGATAAGGAACAGCTTTTTTTAACCCCCTTATGTTTCAAACTCTAGATTCAGGGTATTTGACAGGAGCGTGGGGTTAACAGTGTAAAAGTAACTGAAGATGACATGCAACAGCAGTGCAGATAAATACAGGATGAGCTTTAATTATTATGCATGTGCTGACCCTCACAGCTTCTCTTGTGTTTCTGTACTTTCCCTCCACGACATATCTACCTCCTGTTGACAGGGCTCAAGCGGTTTCCCTGGATTCCCCGGAGCCAATGGCGAGAAAGGAGGCAGGGTAAGAAAACACATGCATTAAGTTTTTGTGTATGAAAATCACCACGACATCACGGTCCAGCACAAAAGAAAATTGATTCCCATTACAAAGCATCTGCATGGTGACTCGGCACAAAAATAAATAAATAAATAAATAAATGAATAACAGCAGCGAAATCAATGTCAGGGAGAGAACAAAAGGTGCGGAAACAATTGTGCTTTCATTGAGCCCATGGCCTCATTTCTTGGCTTGAAAAAGAGTTGCACTCACGCAGTTTTGGAGAGTTGCTGAGATGCTGTTTGAGTTTTCATATTTGCACGTTCACCACTGACGTGTGCAGTAAGCCAGATATCCCCAGCTCAACACCATTCGTTTTATTAAAGGTGGAGGTAGTGGGAGAGAGTATTAGTTTGAAATCCACTTTAATATAAAGATTATTAAAAGTATAAAAAGTTATTAAATAAATTGGCTTAAAAATCTTTTATTAAGTGGATACTTTAAACTGTATTATTTGACCAAAGCCAGGTCCATCTAACAGCTTTATTTGGCACACAGAGGTTATTTTGTGAAATAAAGCAATCCAGCCAAAGTCAAAATTTCTCTTCTAATGTGAGAAGCCAAATAGTTACTTAAAAATTCTTTGCTTTCAATGAACATAACTCCTGTACTCTTTATTTATATTTCCATATGAGCCGTTTACATTTATTAATGGGATCACAGTTTAAATTCAAGGTTTTCTTAGTAGGTCCATACAGGTAAATGACATTGCACTGTGTCCTGTAATTACAAATTATTGTTTATTTATCAGTTAAAAGGAAATAATGAGTCACTACAGTGTGTTCCCTGCTTGAACAGGGAACACACTGTTCTCTGGTTGTTGCTCGATGTAGAAGAGATGCTTTGTGTGGAACACATGTTAATGGGGTTTCATATGTTAAGTGGATTAATGCTGGATGAGGACAGACGAGCAGAATCTGTGCTTAAGCCTTTTTTAATTTTTTTGTTACCTAACAGGGCACTGCTGGCAAATCTGGTCCGCGAGGACAAAGAGGTCCGACGGTAGGTCCTGTTCACGCCATATTTTTTGTGATTAATGGGCTATTAGTGTAAACATTGTTGAATCGTTTAAATTATTCTTCCAGTCAAATTATGTGCATATATTATAGCTGTTGATCTAGACTGTTGTTGCCATAAAGTCGTGTGCTTAACATGACTTTGTCTCTCTCTCTCTTTAGGGTCCCAGGGGCGCTCGAGGAGCCAGAGGTCCAACAGGAAAACCTGGACCCAAGGTCCTGATGCTATAGCCGTTACAACAAAACACTACTCACAAAGAGTCAAGACTTTTCAATTAAATTGCTACTTTGTCACATAATTAAATAGAGCTGCTTTTTTTTTAATTTGAGCTGATGATGATTTGTTTTTGTGTGCTGAAGGGCACAGCAGGCAACGACGGTCCTCCTGGCCCACCTGGTGAGAGAGTAAGTCCAACACACTGAGCCTGCAGTAGCTGTTATGCATTTTAAAAGCACACAAGGTTTAGGTCCATACCAGTTTGTTTTTGTTGTCCTTGCATTAGAAATATAGTTGTAATTGTTGGTATTAGGTCTATCTCATCAAACTGGATTCTAAGCATTAAAGATAAATAGTAAGAAAAGATGCTAACCTATATGCTTTTTTTCTTCCCAGTAGATCTCTAGCATCTACTAAAATGATGGCTGTGCCTTACTTTTACTTTTCTAGTTCAACAGGAGGATAAATAATAATTAAGAAATTAGTTAATCAATCGATAAATCGTTTGTTTCATTTTTAATGAGGGGTAATTCAGGCATCATATAATATTATAATAAGACTTCTGTTCTATACGTTGTTGTCAGCTGGGATTTTGCCTTAATGCTATATCACTGTTCCTACAGACAGCAGCATTTTTGTTTTGTGTTTTTTCACCCTATCACTTGGCTCCCAGCATTGCAATAAAGTAAATTGCTCCTTTGCTGAATTTCAAACTGACACTCCGAAAGGAAAGGAGGAAAGAAAGGAAAGAAAGTGCTTCAAAACTAGATGTTTAGTGCTGGGTGGCTTACTCAGCAAAACAAAGGAAAGGAAACAGTGTGCAGTTGCTGCACAAAAAGAGATTCCCAGCAGTGACACCTTATTTAATAACTTTCATTAGATTTTGTTAGGTTTCTAGTGCCGTTTTAGTGGAATTTGATTTTGTTGTGTATCAAAGAAATGAGAAACATTGGCTTGATTTAGTGAAGGCCTGAAAGAAGGAAGGCTGTTAAGCACCTGCAGCAAATGCTCTGTTACCATTAGCATTTACCTACCAGCACTATTTGTACTGACACAGTGTGATGAATTTTAGTTGATCGGGAAAACTGAGCCTCTTTCCTGAAAGTTGAAAGTTGGTAACAGCAGAAATGAAATAATGGCACATGTTGCTCCTACTTGTCCTCGGCTAGGTACAGGGATTTCATCATTAATCAGTCATAAAATCGTTTTTTCAGTCTCAAAGGTAAATGTTTATCATAGATATGCTTTCACAGACTTAAAGTTTTCTTTTTTACTGATCTAATACAGTAATGGCACAGTGATTGAAGCAGATATTAATGGACTGCTGTCAACAGTTCTTTGATATTTAAGCTATCTGAGATGTAGTGTCATGAACTCTGTAACAGTATGAACATCCTCTTTTGTTAAACTCCTATGAACATGGACAAGTGAGGTGAAATAAATTTGAATCTGATGAATAAGGATGATTAAAAGATAACCTTAAATGATGGAGTCAGCTTTGAAGCTTTTATTAGACTGCAGAAAATTAAACTTGTATTAGATGTTTCATCGATTTATGTTTAATCTCCTTAAATAAAACACTTGTTACCTCAATAATGTAAAGTAACTGAAATCCTTCTTTAGCATATTTGACTCTACAGACTCGGATACACAACCCCACAATATGAATGTCTCTATTTGTAACATTGTGGGTGGCCAAGACACTTTTCCCCCCTTAAGTAATTAAGATACTATTTGTATAACAGCTTTTAGTCATTACCCTGATTTTTTTAACATGCAGTTTAGCTTTCAGCTGGTTTCAACCCCTCATTAATTATATAAGCTGAGGTCCCCCTGGTCTTTTCTACAACAATGAAAAGTAATATATTAGGATACAACAAAGTTTATTTGGAGTTAATGTTTATGTTGATGAACTTGGAGAATTCAAAAGGTATTTTTGGCTTATTATTATTGCCATGATTATAATCCTCCCTGTGATGTTGTCTGCTTGATTTAGTCAGATCAGATAGGGACTTTTTTTGAAGTTATCTTTATAACAATATAATATTGGATTTCAAAAAAATATCCATGCTACTGAAATTTTAAGGTTAGCTGGACAAATAAATCATTGCAAAGAAAAACTCCAGATACACTTTTACTCTCACTACTTTTCTGTGTGGTTAGAAAGTGAGGCGAGTCTTACCAGTAGTCACATCATATCATTTATGACCTGAGGCACAGTTACTCACCTCAGGGTGAGGCTAGTTTTTCAATTCGAAAAGCTCCACTTCTCCAACCTTGTTTCGAAATTAGCCATAAGCAATCCCAGAGCCTGACACTTTTTCACTTTTAGGTTTTGTTTTGCCTTTTTGCATAATGTCATAACCTTAATTTGACCGTGTGTTGATTGCAGGGACCTCAAGGACCACAGGGACCAGTAGGTTTCCCTGGACCAAAAGGCCCCCCTGTAAGTATTTCTCCATCCTTGGAACAGAAGAAAGCCACTTGGCCTCTCAGACTAAAAAAGCATCTACGCTGAGGCTTTGTGGTTTTGCAAGGCTCTGTGTCTAATCTCTTACTTTATTTACCCTTCCTCGGTGTTGCAATAGCAAAATAGCCTGTTTTCAAACATTAGAAGTCACAATTGATTCAATTTGAAGAATTCATAGGGTGTAGTAATACATAGCAATATCCCTAATTCTGTTCAGAGGTCATTACTCTAACTGTTATTGAAGCAGAGCTCATTTTCTCACTACCCAGTCAAGGCAGGAGACAAGTGGTAATTTCCACCTATTGATTCCGGTTACATTCATAGCTGGCTCTCACGTCTCAGCCCGTAACGATATTTATTTCACACAAAAATAAACAAAAAAACTCTAGCCCTGAGCCTATTTTCATGCCATTCAACTACTTCGAGATATTCAAGGGTTTTTCCATTCTCAATATTATGTTTACACTGCCCACAAACCATTTGCACAAAATTGTAGTAATAAAACTTGTTGCTTAGAAAAAAAACTTTGAATGAAAAAACTGGTGAATGTATGTCTTGTTTTCTACCTGACAGGGACCACCTGGCAAGGATGGGCTGCCCGGACACCCTGGCCAGCGCGGAGAAACAGTGAGTAATTGCAATATCTTGTATGAACGTTACAGACCTCACGTTGAACTTAAACCCAGCATGATCTAAGAATTATACATATTGGCTTTTTTTTAGCTTTCTACATTTAAACTACTTCAAAACAAGACTTATTATTATATTATTATACATAAGCATATGTATAGTGCTTTCATATGCAGTAGATAACGATGAAATCGTTGGCACAACATCTCAGTGGGATGCCAGAGGTGCAGACCCATTTCGTAAAGCAAACTCTAAAAGAGAAAGCCCTTGTGAATACTGCCTGAGTCTGCTGCTCAGCTGGTCTTTATTCACACAGACAGAATACACACAGACACCGTCGAGGTAAAGCCATCCACTTCTGATGGAGTTTCTATCTTATTGTTACTTTGGCATATTTGCAAATATCCAATGAATAGATGCTAAGCCTTGACTGTTTAGTTCCACTAAGGTTTACTTGTGTATCACTGCCTACTGTCTAACAATAACACCTTACAGATAACTAAGCCAGCATAATATTTGTTGCAGCAGGATAAAACAGTTTGTTGCTTTTTTATTTGTATTGTTTGTTTATTGTTCCAAAATGAGCATGAGCTAAATGAAAAATGGCTGAATTGGCACATAGATAACAACAATAAAAAAACAAAGCGGAGTAAGATTCGATCAAATGAAGTTAGAATCCCCCGCTTTTCGATTCCTCTGCGCTTGGTATGCATCAGTGCACCATGGTTTGACGAGGCTCGGAGGACAATGATTCTACTAAAAGCTTGACTTTGCCTTTATCAAAGCTTCCTTTTCCATCTGCCTCTTTCCCTTAGATAATATAATACAACACACACAAGTGCTTCCCTGCCTTTTCTGTAATTCAGGCCCCAATAGTAGTCTTCATTAAGGTGTTTATGTGCTGATGAGTGGGCTCCAAACAGCAATAAAGATGCTCATAGATGCACATCATCAGAAATGCAAGTTACATTTAAGTAAGTGCAAATAAAGATTTGAGCCGGTGTCTCTAAGCCGATGCTGCAGCAGCCTGGCTTGAGGGCTTCCTTTAAAAAATACATCATCATAAATCACAGCACATAGTGATCAATAGGCCTGGAGTCATAAGTCTTTCAGTACTGACTTTGTAAGAAGTTTGCATTTGAAACTTTGTTTAGTTATAGGATAATAAGTTGCAAATCAAATGTGCTGCGATTGTAATACCTCAGTGTGTACAGGTTATAGAAAAGGCCAGAGAATGAGGGATCCAATAGAAAAAGCTGATTTCATCTAACGCTCCTCTTGTGCTGATCCTGGGGTTGTACTTGTTTGCTTCTCAGTAACTCTCAGGAAGCTTAATTAAGCTGTACACTGTTCACTGTCTACAAGTGTGTAGCCTTATTACAGCTGTGATACAGGTAGAAGATACCATTCTTTATCTGCTTGTATCAGTACACTTAATAGTGTGTTTTAAGAAAACTGTTTAATTAGTATTTCAGGAATATACTGGAGTGCACTTGGACTCTGGTCAATGTGGATTGGATTGTTCCTCTCCCTGAAGACAGAAGTTCATCGGATTTGTACTGCACTGTCGGATTCAATGCTCGGGAATTCTGAACTTGGATCTTTTTTGGCACGTCCTGTTTTGCTGTTTAAATGTGCTTAAACGTATCCACAGGGAGTACTTCAATGCAAATCAGCCATATGCTGTGAATGTAAACTTAAAAGTTAACTACAACTAACTGGTCTGTATTCTCCCAGAGAACATATAACTTAATGGTGACTTGTACACTTAACGCTGTATGCAGTAGTAGTAGAGCAGCTACACTATTATACTGCTGGCTTTGAAGTTGGCTAGTTACACATTGATACACAACATGACAGGAGTTTTATGTCACCTCAATGACATAAAGTCAGTATTTTATTAAAGATTTCAAATTAAATTCAAGAAAAACCCCAACAATCAGATGAGTTGGTGCTTGCTCAAGGGACCATAGGAGGTCCCTTTTAACAGAAAGAAACCTTTATCGGAATCAGGCTCAGGGAGGGGCAGCTATCTGCTCTGACCAGTAGGGGTGAGGGGAGGAAGACAGGACAATAGATACACTGTGGAAGAGAGCCAGAGATTAATAATAACTAATGATTAAATGCAGCGTATATAACTAAGGGATGTTTAAGGGTAACTATATGCAAAATCGAAAAGGGAAAGTTTGAAGCCTAATCTTAAAAGTGCAGGGTGTGGCTGTCTCCTAAGTCCAGACTAGGAGCTGGTTCCACAGAAGAGGGGCATGAAAGTTGAAGGCTTTTATATACACTATGAACCACGAGTTAGCCTGCAGTCTAAGAGTGACGTGTTCTGTTAGCGACCAAAGCCCAGTGTAAGAAGAAGGACAGGACTTAGAAGCCAAAATGTTCATAATTTTGCACATTTTTATTCCTCATGTAGAAATCCATCACTCTCATAGCAAACAAATGAAAATGTCATGTCAAATCTGTTGTCTGTTGTTGTGTTATTTTCAAATCTTAATTACAGCATCCAAGTACAGGTACCCCACTTTATTGTCTGAGTGTCTTTATTGCCTGGTTTGGTTTAAAGAAGAGGCGTATGTTGTGTGACCCTTCCTTTTCATGTCTACTTTGGACTGCAAGCAAAAAAAGCTGTAAAGCTTATTGCATAGACTTAATGTCCACATAGACATTAAGATATACAACATATTAAACAACTGTACATATAACTCTAGTTATTTACTACCCTGCACTGTATTGCAAAACAATATATCCTTGACTGTAGATAGAAGCTGAAAAACTCTTGTTCCAGAATCAAGGAAACGTCAGACCCAAACATATAGTAAATCCCTGCTCATCATCATAAATAATATCACAGTAATTGCTGCACATGGGCTTGAATAGATACGATTTATGTCTCCAATGCTGCTGTAACTTGTATAAATAAGGTTTCATACTCTCTCTCTTTTCTTTTTTCAGGGTTTCCAAGGAAAGACCGGTCCTCCAGGACCAGGAGGTGTTGTTGGGCCCCAGGTAAGAGGAGATATACAGAAGAGGCAAATACATATATTACTAAACAAACAGCAAAGCAGAAGGTGATATAAAGTAAGTGCTGTATTCGCAGTGCTGTGGATCAAATTCTTCTATTTTACAATTTTATTCCAACAAGAAGTACTGTGGGCAATTAAAAGAAAACACATAATTGCTCATATACAGTAGATAGGTCATCATTTACTCAGTTGGATCTTGGACACCTACTGGCTTTGAGCTCTACTGTACTGGCGTAAATTATAAGTGAAAACTGATAAGCTTTATTTATATGGCACATTTTAAAGAAGGTTACGAAAATAGAAAAGTTAAAAAACAGCTGTGAAATTCAACCTTTCATTACTTATTTTCTAAATGTAACTTACTGATTTGTGGTCATTTTCATACGTTGACCTGTAAATCCAAATGCGTGATAACATCTTAGGGACCCACAGGAGAAACTGGTCCCGTCGGTGAGAGAGGCCACCCTGGACCTCCTGGCCCACCTGGAGAGCAGGGTCTTCCAGGTGCTGCTGGCAAAGAGGGAGCCAAGGTATGCATATTGGATTCCCTTTAATTTTACTTTTCCAATTTATTTTAGATATAGTATAATAGCAAACTATGCTTTTCTAGCAGCTAACACTTTTACACACTAACCTTCTGAAAACACTCAAAAACAAACAAGAAAAGTGGCCTTGGCTTTTCTTGTAAACTGAAGAAGAGGATGCTCATGACATTGATAGGAAGTTCAAGAGGGTATAAACGGGCTGCAAATTAAACCTACACATTGTTCTACATGATTTGATTTTGCAGACTGAGCCAGCTGTCCTCATAAACACTTATACTTTTGGGGGGCATACAATGCTTGATAGATTACATATTCCTTTGATAACAGTGTGGGATGTGTTTCGCAGCAATCACCCGACTATCACCATTGCTCTCTATGCTAGACAGTGCAAAATTGAAGGAAGTGACTGCTGAAGATACAGAGGATGAGATTTGAGCAGTGTCTGGCTACGTTCTCTCACTGGGCCTCCCTGCTCGAGAAGTGAGTTCCCATTAGGAGCAGACAGCAGGCATTTTGTAGACGTATGGGCTGCTCCTAACCAACCCCCTGATTCCTAGGGCCACTCAGCATACCCTGCTCCTCAACCCCCACAACCCTCAAATCCTCATGTGTTCTTCTTTCATTTTCTTCCTGTCTTCCCCAAGCAGACAGTTTAATCAAGCCTGTCGGCTAACTCCAAACCCTGCGCCAGTCAGGTCTACTCCGTTCAGACCTGCGCATCAGTATGCCAGGGACACTTTGAAGAGACCTTGGCAGCAGAGCCCAAATCCTCTTATACCTCTCAAGCCTACTCTTCTCTGCCTCCCTGTTTGCAGATAAAGTCAGCCTGCCAGCACTAAAGAAGAGAAGACGAAGCCAGAAGTTACTTTTTCTGAAGTCAAATGTCCTTGTTTTAGAATTGCACCATATAAAAGAAAAAGAAAAACAAACAAACCAGAATAAAAATCTGTACTCAGTGAGGATGCAGTACAAAGTTTTTTTTTCTTGTAGGCAGAACACAAAAGAACTTCTGAAGGAGATGTCTTATGTTAGGGAAGGGTTGAGTTTGTGCAACCCTTCCCTAACATAAGACAGAAGGATGTGAACTTTGTGTTTTTTTCTCTGTTTTTTGGGTTTTTGTTTTGCTTCATTGCAGCAAGAAACTGGCTGCTGGAGTGGAGCACTCTTGATTTTTGATTTTCTTTTTAAAATCTGACTGAAGTCTTTATGTTTCATATTGTGCCTGATGATGCAAAAGCAATACTGCATTGGTATTAAGAGTTATTTATTGACTGTGTAATGACAGTACTAATGAATCCACAGGAAACATGTGTCTGTAAAACTAATTGCATCTAATAGCTCATGATGGCTGTCAGTTTTGAAACAGGTTCACTCCTGTCCCTGCCGGGGAGTTCAGAGGCATTAGTACACATATTTGCTCATTTTCCCAGTACTATGTATCTCTCCCTCTCTCTCTCTCTGCCTCCTGCTACTCAGCAGCCAGCACTGCAGTATAGTCCTTTTTTAAATGCATAAATGGCTGCAATGCATATTCCACCAGTGGGATGAGAATCATTAAGTGACTTGGTCATTTCATAAGTTTCTCAATTTCAAGGTTTTCTTTGTAGTGCAACTAAAAATCCTTTGGTTTTTTTTTCACATGTGTTGCATCTCCAAACCCATACTAACATCATCAGTTCCTATGCAGTAAAGTTACGTTAGCAGTTGTTATGTAGATGATGTCGTTTTGTGTAAAAATCTCTCTATATATATCAAACATACCAAAACAGTAGTTGTAAGTCTTTTTTATTACAAGGACATACTCCTGCAGTAAAGAATGAAGACCTTTTCAGACTGAGACTATACGAAGAGTGAAGCTATTCAATACTTTTCTATGGAAAGTGAGCTTTTGTTATTCAGCAACAGTGCCTGAATTAATCTTTGTGAATGGTGACAGATGATTCATCTTTTATAACAGTCTTAATGTAAAGAATTAGTATGGTACAGGAAAGTTTCAAATGACACATTTGTAGTTATACTCAAAAATTAATGCAACATTTTGAATTATAGTAAGTCCAATTAAACACATGTTATTGCTTGTGTAGGGTGATCCTGGGCCACAGGGATCCCCTGGTAAAGACGGTCCCCCTGGTCTTCGTGGCTTCCCTGGAGAGAGAGGTTTACCCGGTGCCCCGGTAAGTGCTCCGTTTCACCTGCATCTATTCATCATCATCAGTTTTCCTTTACACGTGTTTGCTAGTAGAAAGTGACAGAACATAGCTACATAATAAATGAACCAGCATCTATCTAGAGCAAGTCACTTCATTACCGACTCCGGCCCCGGAATTCACACCAAGTGATCAATCCGATGCAGAGGAAATCCAAAGCGACATTTTACAAATGAACAGGCGTGCCTCGGCATTGCTCTGCTGCCACCGACGGCGCTGTTTTAACAGCCGCAATGGATCTTGGGCCTGTATTACAGAATTGGGAATTGTTGATTAGGGATTCATTTGTAAAAGTTTAACCCAAACATTTTTTCTTGTGGGGAGGGCAAAGTTATGTGCTGTTTCTATATGCATTATTTACCTAATAAATTATTAAGTGAGAAATGTTGGCAATTAGACTGGGTTATCTGGGAATGGATATACTGCAGGGAGAGGAAGTGTTGTGCTTCCTCCATCCTCAAGGTCAGTCGGGCTCTGCAGGACAGCAGCACCACTGATTGTTTTCTGCCATTGTAATTTACTCCAGCAAACAGCCAGAGCCAGCAAAAACTCATTACCCATACTGCTATGTGTTCTTTTGTGGCCCACTGGGGAGCTGCACATGCACATGATGGGAACTGACAAATATATAAAACAGCACACATGCGTCTAGCCTATTATGCACACCCCTGCATGAGCAAAACTGAATTTACAAGCTTGCATATGCAGAACAAGATGGAGAAAATTGTATGCACCCATACAATCGCTTGCAACTTTAAGCAGCCATCTATCTGCAAAAGAATCCCACTACACTTTCCCTGCAGTATTCACAACAACACAATTATAGATGAAATGTGTTTTTTGAAGTGTTGTATATTGTGACTGAGATATGTATTACAGATATTAGATTTACAATACACTAGCAATCTATAGCTTTGGCCTTTGATTTGTGTTTACTAGGATGAAAATCTCAGCGCTCAGCTGTAGTGGAGATTGGCTTGGTTAAATGCAATTAAAACACAAAGTTCAACAGCTGTGTGAAGGTATTTATGTCTCTTGTTCCATCTTCACCTCAGGGCCCTGCTGGTCTGAAGGGAGGAGAGGGTCCCCAGGGTCCACCTGGTCCTGTTGTAAGTACAGTACTGAGAGCTATGTAAAGATAACTGTTTTTATGCTCTCTGGATTGTGTTGGTTTGCATGCCATTTATATTATCATCTTAGATTCTTCTAGATAGTTATTCTAGATAGTTCCACTCTATACATTTGAAGTATTATTAAGACTTGAATATTCAAATACTACTTTAATTCAGATATTTGTTTGTTGTGTCATCATGACACTTGCGCAACACAGTACTGGCTAAATAGAATATAAACCAGATTTAAGTTTTTATTATTTATTTACATATTTAGGGTTATTGTTATGTTGAACGTTGTAGTGTTTTAAGTTTGATTAGTGTAGTTTTAATCAATTTTAAATCATGCTTTTTATTTGTTCTTGTTTCTAATGTCTCTGTAAAGCACTTTGAATCACCTTGTTGTTGAATTGTGCTATACAAATAAACTTGCCTTGCCTTGCCTTGCCTAGAACAGCTTCAGTAAGCCAAAACTACCAGTCGTTTGTATGAATTTATCATTTAAAAAAAGAAGATGCATCCCTGTCTCTACATAAAGCATTTGTTCAATAAAAACAGAGTCTAAATGATCTGTTTGGCTTTTATACTCAGAGTTTTTATCTTGTGTTTCTGTAACCAAAATTAGTGTGTATGCAGGTTGGTTCACTGCATCAATAATATAAAACAAAAAGTGCTGAGTGTCATTCATAATCATGTTTTATGGATTGAGCTGAACACTGAGTAGTATAATATATATGCAACAGAAGTCTGCTTCATTTTGTAATGCAGCTGCAGGTGAGAGTTGCTCAGGGCTTGGAGAACCACTAAGACATCGGCTCCCTGACAGGAGATAATGCTGACTACTTTCAATGAGCTTTGCTCTCTTTTAGAACTTGAAAGCCACCTGATACTGCATGTTTCTGCTAATGTTTTCACACTTTCCATTTTAAAAAGAGGGTTTTGTGTGTAGCTGTGTATCTATTGATATATTATTAACAGAAAGACACAGTGGGGTCTTTGTTTGCCATCTTCCTAATGTCCTCGGTGTTTGTTCAGTGCAACCAGGCCAACAAAACTGAAATCTTTAAAAAATCCTTCTGCCCTTGTTTTTCATTAATATTGTCCGTATTGTGCTCATGCTTACAGGGTTCTCCTGGTGAGAGAGGTGCTGCTGGCCCAGGAGGTCCAATTGGCCCATCTGGTAGACCTGGCCCTCAGGGTCCCCCAGGTCCCGCTGGGGAGAAGGGAGCACCTGTAAGTGTTACTTTGCTCCTAAAGCTTCATTCTTCTTGTCCTTTCTTTGGTTACCAATTTTCAGAATATAATTAAAAGACATTTCTGTCTTCTTATAGGGTGAGAAGGGGCCTCAAGGTCCAGCTGGTCGTGATGGTGTCCAGGGTCCTGTAGGTCTGCCTGGACCTGCTGGACCCCAGGGCCCACCTGGTGAGGATGGTGACAAGGTCAGTTACCTACATTCAGCACCACCAATTTCATCCTGTTACAGCTGCTTGTGTTCCCTAAGTGGGGCATGTGGGTAAATCAATCATTTTCCCATATTAATCTGCAACAAAAATATATTCCTCTTTTTCTAACTGTTGCTTATCCATCTTCATAAACAGATGTAACAGAAAGCACAATTGCAGGAGATGCTGTTGCATCATTCATTTCTTGTAATTATTATGGCCTTTAGGGTTACTATCAGACATTCTATAAAAGCTGCCAAACAAATGCTCATGCAGAGATTTGCAGTGCATTAACTTTGACTGACAAAATACATTTCTGTACTTGTATATACATAGCGTGAACTCTCGGGAAATAAAGTACCTAATTGTACCTTGACAGGAAGCACTTATTTTCTTCTTGAACCTCATTCTTCCATTACACAAAATTAGATTAAGAATGAAATTTGTCACCGTGTATTAAATGCTGTAATTTATCTTTAATTGAAACTGGGAATGAAAACAATATTCAGCCTAACCTAACCATTTTCTGATATTCCACCTTAATATCGAGAACAAATATTATACATATGTATACCTTTATGGCCCTCAGAAAGGTTGACATAGTTAGTTTCAGGTCTAAAAATTAGTCCCAGGAGTGCATTTGTGCAGACTGTGTCGGTATACCCTCTCACCATTACAGTTATAGATAATGTATATTTCTGTTAAGCTGAGGTTTTCAATGATTTTGCAATAACAGAATGTAGTATTGTGCTCATTTAGAAGTCTTAAATCCTACATTTGGTGTTTGGGCTTGAATTTGCAAATATGCAGAGAAGAAGAATATCAGCACTAGCTGATAACTATTATTGTTGTTGTTTATTGTTGGGTTTGGGACATGTTTTGTTTATTAGTCAAGTCATTTTTCATTATCTCAAAAACTGACTGTGTGTTTGTTTCTTTACCAGGGAGAAGTTGGAGAACCAGGTCAGAAAGGAAGCAAAGCTGACAAGGGAGAACAGGTAGGTGATACAGAACATTTATATCCATCCTTCTTCAAAATAAAAAATAGCCCGTTAGACTTCTACTCAGGAAGTGATTCGTGGGTGCTTGGATTTGTCTTTGACTCTGTGGGGATGTGCATTTTGGTGGCATTATTTTCACTGTATGTTTCAGGGTCCTCCTGGTCCAGCTGGTCTCCAAGGTCCTGTAGGCGCTCCTGGTCCTGCTGTAAGTACTGACAAAGAATGAGAAGTTAAACCTGAGCAGGAGGTCACAGCAGTGCTGTTCAAATCTTTGCTTTTGTTTGTTGTTAATAAGGGAGGTGATGGAGAGCCTGGTCCCAGAGGACAACAGGGCATGTTCGGACAGAAGGGAGATGAGGGCTCCAGAGGTTTCCCTGGACCTCCTGGTCCTATTGGTCTGCAGGTTTGTGCCATAACTATGAATACAAATTGTAATATATAGCTGTCACACAGGATAATATTCACGTTATTTTTTTCCATTCTGTCTGCCTGCAATAGTGTGTCTAATGATGTCACACGTTATAGTCAGAAACACTCATTTACCTTTTTTAACTACACTGTGACCTTCAGGTTACAAGCTACGGTGGAAAAATGGTAGACACAAACAAATTCATATTTACACTATTGCTTAAGCACTTTAATTGGATCTGGAATGTCACGTCCAGTAAACTTGCTTTGACCTGCAACGATTGCACCTCTCACCTCCATTCAACGGCAAAATCCTTTTTTCATCACGGCCTGGCTTCTCTGTGCAGTGCCAGTCTCAGCCCCCGCAAAGAATTCACATAAACCAACGAGGCCTGCCAGTGCGTGTATTGCAAAATAGATTATTATCAGTGGCGTACTTTTCTTTTCTATGTATTCATTGGTGAGGGTTATTCATCCAAGGAAATACTTGAGGCCAGACTAAAGTTATTGGGTGCATTTTAAAAACCCAACACTTTGACACAAAAAGATACACATAAACTTTAATGATGTTTTCCTGAACTATGATAATATTCTAACGAGGTAGGACCTTTCCCATAGATAGACCTCATTTCTTTGTAATTATCTGTTTATTAGTAATCAACTTCTTAAGCTAGACGTGTTGGGCATTTACTGCAGAGATTGGGGTCATTGTCTTGATCAAATTACATAGACTGCTATGTATCAATCCGAGGTGCTATCCTGTCTCTGCAGGATTTTATTCAATGGACTTTTAATTGGGAGTAATTCACTTCCCATCACGATTCCATTAATTGCATGGACTAACCCACTCCAATAGCCTGGCCTCATTGAGCACATTTACTATTCTACATAATGAGTAGCACTGCTAATGATCTTAGACTAGACGGGACCTTTACACAGATTATATTACTCAGCACAGGAGACATTAGCATGCATCCACACACCGTTTTTTCAGCACCCAGCAAGCACACACATGCTGAGACGCATGCATGCACAAGCTCAAAACAGTCAGCACAGGGTCTTTGTTTTCATTGTGTTTCCTCAGTGTAATGTGGGGAGAAATAAATTCTTCGATCTCCCCCAGCAAACCTCCACCACTCACTCACGATCAACTCCTAAATCACACAGAAGCAAAGCAACCTTCAGCAGTGATATCGTGGCAATTACTGGTAGAAATGTCACAGATCAAAAACACATGTGAGGTCTGGACCACGCAGCTTATTTTACAAGAATTAGTGAGCAGGATTTATGCCTGCACCTTGGAATAAGGATGTACAAGTTACTGACTGCAAAAGGGAGAAAGAAATAATAGATTAGTGCTCTCTTACATGTCTGCAGAGCTGCAGGAAGAATTGTAGAATAAAAACATGACACCTTCACCGAAGAATTCATAAGGGAGCTTAACCCCCCCCCCCGTTTTGCTCAGGCAACAAGTACGTAACATAGAGTCTAACAAATTCAACCTTTCAGGGCAGCAGTTTTCCTTGACCTTACTGATCATACTCACTGGATGTTTAATTGAACACGGACAGCAGGTGAAACATGAATTCAAGTAATTCATTTGTGCACATTTGGCTCACAGATACATTTAATATTTTACAGCATCACTGCATCAGTAGTATCAGCCGTTGTGACTACAGTTAACAACTCTAGTAAAATGATTGTTTTCTTTTCTAATAACATGATCATTTATTCATTTTATTTGTCCACAGGGGCTTCCAGGACCTCCTGGGGAAAAGGGTGAGAACGGCGATGTTGGACCTATGGTAAGAGAGAAACCACTCGATATTTGTTAGTACTTATAAAAGTTTGTTAAATACACTGTAACACTCTCTGACTCTTTCCTGCAGGGCCCCCCTGGTCCACCTGGTCCCAGAGGTCCTCAGGGTCCTAGTGGAGCTGATGTACGTACAAATAGTTGTTAACAACTGTACTAAGTACAACTATACTCATATGCATACTAGACTGTGACTTTTTTTTTTACTTCTATCAACTTACATTGTGAGGCCTTTATATCATTACTTGTCCTTCCCTGTAGTGATTGATGATGATTTATCTCTTTCTTATGTCCTGCTGCAGGGTCCACAAGGTCCTCCAGGTGGTGTGGGCCCCATGGGATCTGTAGGTGAGAAGGTAAGAATCAAAACTTGGCACCCCACTGTTTTGTGCCTGCACTGAAGGATGTTAGGCACTGAGACTGAATTAGAGTCTGTTATACCTTCCAGCCAACTTCAGACAACCCAGTCACCTTCTTGTTTTTTAACACCGTGTGTTCATTTCAGTATGTTTTTTATGACTTAGAGCTTGGACACAATGTCGTTTTTAAAAAAAAAAAAAAAATTATAGCACTTCCAGGACTAGGACTACGGATACTTTGAATATAGTAGCACATTATTAGTCAGCTACAGTTATAGACTTAATAGAGTTAACTGTTAGTAATATCATTATTTATTCTGACAATAATACTTATTCTCATGTATGACTTACGTAGTTATGGCTCAATTTCAGATATCATATCTGAATTTGGAAAAAAAAAAGTGTGATATTGAAGATTTATTTGTTTTGACATTGACATTTGTCTAACCACAGGGTGAGCAAGGTGAGGCTGGAAACCCAGGACCACCTGGAGAGTCTGGAACTAAGGTAAGTAAGCTCTTGTTTTTGTTTTCTGTCAAGCTAAATATGTGTTGCTAATGTATATTTGTGTCACTGTGTTACATGTTAGATGTTTACACACTGGACCATGCTTATCGACATACATTCAGTATTTTACTGTAGATTCTAGCACTGTAGCATGATTGAAGGGCCCGTCTTTAAAATGGATAAACTCACTTTGTGCACACCATTGCAATTGAATGGTGACAAGGAAAAAAAACAAGACTCACTAACTTTTGGTATATTTACCACTAACTCCAACCTAATGAGGAGGTGTTTTTGTTTGTTTTTTGTAAGTGACACTGTGTATTCATCACCATGATAGTAATTGTTCCTCACATTTAACAGAAGAAGAGTCATCTCAGCATGACTCTTCTGCTTTGCACCCTGGATCCACATAACCCGCCAAGCTGAGTCTATTCCTCTTAAGATGCAGCCTAATTAGCAGGAGGATCTGCACACTGCTTCTGACCTTATGAACAATGATTGCAGCAACCCTGAAGCAAGTTGCCTTTAAAACATCAGACATCCGTGTTAATGCAGCTTAAGTTGTGATTTGTCCTCCTTGATAGTTACATTGGGGCTGTTGCACAAGAAATCGGAAGTGCTCTTCAGTGCCATACTTGTTTGGAGTTACTTCTAAAAGCTTTAAACTCATTAACGTACTGCAGTCATACACTTGACCTTGCTGTTGTCGAAGAAAAACACCCATCAGTGTTTGCTTTTTAGCTCTTAATTTATCATTATTGAGGTACAACAGCAGATTGAAAAGTTGTAAAAAAAGTGTGATTATAGGTGTCTGTATGCCCTCTATTAGTTCCTCTTTGAATTGCTGGTGTGACAGTTTCAGAGTTAGGGTGAAGTTTACATTCCTATCATAAGCAATAGTGTTGGTACCGTATAGTTTAGTTAGTATAAAATAAATCTAAATCTAGCTGTCATCCTATTTGCTTACACGCATGAACCTTTACATGCTGTACATCAGATTCAGACACAATAAATTAATTAATAATACAAATATTAAGAAATGAAACAGTAGTGGACTACATGAGTTTCTAGTTTTCTGTTTCTTTGCTTGTTTCCACATCTTAACTGAACTGTGAATCATCTTACTTTAAGAAATGTTGCAGAAACCAAGGACATTAATTACCAACTCGTACGCTCAAAGACTTGATTTTTCACCCACATAAACATGAAGCAAAAAGTAAAAATAGCCTGAAATGTGTAAAAGTAAAGATTTATTTACTCAAATTATTGATCAGTAAGGATCTTTGTATAAACTGACTATATACTGACCAGATTCCATTAAAGTTACAATCAAATTACTTTAAAGTCAGAATTTTCAGAATAAAAGATTTTTTCGCATGTATCCAAATCTTCTCCTGATTTCTCACCAAATCAGCTTTAATCCTTTACAACACTTAACAGCTGGACTTGCAAATAATAGACACGGTTTGAAAACTTGAAAATCATAACCAGCATATTTTTTCATCAGGGAGGTTTTAAAATATATTTTATTTATCTATATAATTTAAATAAGGCTTTTAAAAACATATATGTTGCACCTCATTTCACATCAGTGTTTTTGACCATCCAGGGTTGCTGTGCTCTGTTACCAACACTGGGATGATCTTTGGATCCAGTGTCTCTCAGCAGCCTCTGACTGCTTGTCTGTTTTTATCACCCCATCCTGTTCAGTGTCAGCCTTGGAAGAAAAAAATGCTCCCTCTTGTGGAATTGATGTAATGAATGCCCTCCCTTGCCCCCCATCACTACAGGGACCTAAAGGTGAGAGGGGAGAGAAAGGAGAAGCTGGCCCACCTGGAGCTGCTGGACCTGCTGGTGCCAAAGGACCCCCTGGAGATGATGGCCCCAAGGGCAACCCTGTACGTCTGGCACATACTCTCAATATCTCTATAAGAGTTTTTTAGGATTGACTCAGACAAGCTTAAATTTACTGCTCCAAAGGAAATATCTCTTGCAGCCATAAGGCAGGCAATTTTAGCCTAGAACATATTCATGAGCTAAAAAGCCTTTTTATTGATGGAGATTATATTTTATGCCTGCATAGAAATGGGATGCAGTGAAGCCTTTTCTCAAAGATTTGCAACATTATCATTAAGTCCATCATATTTCCTTCAGAGGCTGTAACCAAGTACACCAAGTCTAAATCACTGTCGAAATTACTAACCATGTCCTTAATGCTTGAAGCCAGGAAAATTATGTCTTTTTTTAAACACGGATGCATCTCATCATCTTATTTCTTTCTTCCAAAGGGTCCTGTTGGATTCCCTGGAGACCCTGGCCCTCCTGGAGAGCCAGGTGTAGCTGTAAGTATGAAACCCTTATGTTAGCCCTATATAGAGTACAGAGTACGTATAACTCTGTTCCAGGTGGATCATGTTTAATGCAAGAATTAAAGAGTATGGTCCTAATGGATATTCCAGTGTCAGACTAATCTCTAATGTCTTTTTTGCAGGGCACTGATGGCGAACCAGGAGAGAAAGGAGAGGATGGAGAGGCTGGCCAACCGGTAAGTTGACACTTTTTTATAATTTGGAATGAAGAAATGACTGCATGACCTTATATCACGTATAACATTTGGTACACTTGGTGCAAGCACATCATATGAGGACATCAGCTTAATAGTCAGTTTCTCTGTCAAAGTGCTTTTATTAATTTTTTAGTTTTATATTAGACTTTAGTACTCCACCACAAGTTTGCCACTAAATGCTCTAATTATATTTAGTGAGTAAATAATTTACACTGCGGCATTTTAATTCATGCTAGTTACCTCATAGGTATGGGTGTAGGGTAAATGGACTTATCTGCTTTGTAGATTCATTAAGTATAATTAGAAATAAAATCCACGTATTAATGTGCTGGCCCTGTGTAAAGTGCAACGAATGACAACTCTGAATATTTATGGATGTAAATAAGCCTTTATCATTGCCAGAGAAAAACTCGACCGATGTTACATATTCTGTTTTTTTTCTTTGTTTGTTTATGAAGCCGGTTTGCATCTTTGAATGCTGCAGTGAAATATGTTGATTTAGAAGGTATATTAATACATAATGTGAACTTCATATGATGGCTTCCCCTTCTTTGAAATCAGATCTACACACAATGACTTTTGTATTTATATGTCACTGTGCAGTCATCCCAAAAATGAGCTGATTAACACTGTGAATATTTACCAGTTTGAATGTTTAAAAAAAACCACTCTGATTGTCTGCAATTAACTCAGAGATAATTGGATGAAAGTATCTCAGGGAACACAGTGTGTATTATTTCAAGCAGTGCTGTGCACCATCCAACTTTGGGTCTGGGTGTAACTCTTACAGACTATGGAGGGGTTTAGCATTCCCAAAATGTGTATTCGGCCTCTGTGTTATTATCCTTCTGGCAGACAGAAGACGAATGCTGTGCTTTCATAAAAAATCATAATCAGTACAGATTTACTTGTTTATGCAAACTGTTAATAGTGTTTCTCTGTTTTCTTTTGTTTTTTGGCTTGCTTCTTTTAGGGACCTCCAGGTCCATCAGGAGAAGCCGGCCCACCTGGACCACCTGGCAAGAGAGTAAGCCTGAGGCAGTTAAAACTCATTTCAAACTGTTTGCATCACTGGTATGGTTCCATCTACAATCCACAATCGACCAATCGGATGGTCCCATTGTTACAGTTGTCATTGCTGACTAACGCTTTTATCAGCTACAACATCTTAACTTATTATGCTCATTTGAGATGTGTATTAGGTCGTTTTTAAAATAGATAAAGGAGGTGGGATTTCTGTTGGCACTGTACAAAGCCTCTTTAGCCAGCGGGCGAGTGTTCTTCCTCGCTTTGCGACAACTCCTCCTCGACAGCTCAATTTTGGCAGTAAAGCCCGGAGAGACTCATTTTCATTAAAAGTAGAATGGGGACAACAAAGTGGGAGATTTAAGGGGTCGAGGCGTTACGCTGTCTGCGAAGAGAAGCCACCTTAAAGCCTACTGAGAGATGAACGTCAGGATGTGAAAATCATGAATCAATTTTTTTTTTCATAGCAAGAAATTGGAAAGGCTTACCGAAAAAATTGCTGGTAAGAGGAGAAAAAAAGCGAGAATCTGTGGGTTCCAAACTCATTTAGGTCCATATGGCAGAAAGAGCAAAAGCGAGAGAGAGATATAGCGAGTCTGACACACTATTGATCCATGGGTGCTAGACTGACAGGCAGAGCAAAACAAAAACATGGACATGGAAAAATTGCTAGGATGTTATTAAAAGAGAAGAGCTGAGTGATGTCAAGGCCAGGACAGTGCACAGCAACCAGTCAAAGTATGTGTGACAGCTGAGATTTGTCACCACTGCGGTTTTGGCTGCCATAATAGAGGATTTCAACGTTGGGAGAATCTTCTCAAGGTTGCAGGCCTGATTTAAAATGTAAAAAACAAAAAAAAAGCATATAGCCACACTAAAAGACAACGTGAGTAAAGCATATGTCCTTCATATACTTCATGAGGCTGAGATTTCGGTGAAAAATATCAAAGAAAATAAATTGCTGAACAGAATGTGCAGGTCAAGGATTGAACATTAACATATTTTCAATCCCACATGAAATTCAAAGTCCACATGAAAATGAGCAGCTATTCTCCCAAATTTGAATGAAAAGTTACAATCGTGAGTGCCTCACTGCATTTCAAAGAAAAGCACTGGGCTTCGGTCCAATGGGATAAAAAAACATGTTGTGCATTTATAAACCAGGGTTGATTGCTTTTCTAATGTCTTCAGTCAAATTTATATTCTGAGTCTTTAGCATGTATCAGCATATGCTGCACCTTAATGTCCTAGGGATTATACTTAGGATAAGGGCCATTTTTCCCTCCACGCAGATCCTTGGTAGTCCATGCCCGGTCGCTCATACATAACTCCTCCTAACACTTTTTTGTAATTTCTCTGCATTTGGCCTTTTAAAAATCTGTAACCGTCCTTACATCGTTGTCTGCTTCAGCCTGTGATTCTTAATTAGTCGGTTGAGCCTGTCCACAAATTTAGCTTCATTTATTCTTATAATGCGTTAATGCTGGAAATTTATTCACCTATGCTCCCTGAAAAAAGAGAGGTGGGAAAACGTATTAACCCCGTCTGGCTTTAATTCTTTTTATTTGGGTACAGGCCACAGCTTTTCTTTCTTTTTTCTTTTTTTTTAACTGGAACACTAATAATCTCTGTCCTAAACACATGGCATATGTCAAGGTGCTTTAGAAACCTTGACATAAACCTACTTATTGACTCTAGCTGCTGTATATTGTGCCACAACTGAAATGGTTCTTTGTGCTGATCAAGAGCCTGCCTCTTCATCACCAGTAAGAGGTGGACATCAGGAGAAGATGAAAGCGCCAAGACAGGAGGCAAGCTCACATTATAGGCTCTCAGTCAATAGCACTCAGGCTGCAGTCGGCCAGATCAGAGTGGAATTTGGATGGAGAGTGGATTTGAAGAGGGTGGAGTTGAAAGAAATCATTGTGGGCCTCGAAGAGCCTGACCAGAAAGATAAGAGGATCCAACAACTGTTGGCTCTGACCGAAGACGCCTGTGTTTCTTAAATGTGATTTTTTCTGTTTTTAACATGGCTGATTGCAAATTATTGAAGGCAGACATAGAAGAGTCATTCAGATAGATCTTTGCATAATAGACCTGTTGTACTTCACACTGGATGATAGAGAAAGATCCACCCTGTTTGAAGAAAATATCCACCAAGAATTTAATTAGAAAGACAACTGACAAAAATTTCCAGCGATTCCCCTTTTGAGACCAAAATATGCATGATGCAGAGTTGCATGTAACTTGAAAAAATGAGCCAACAGACAGAGTAACAACTTCTGTGAATAACTCTGGTGTTCATTTCCTGTACGCGTTTGTGCAGTCTTCTTGTACAGTTGGCTTGTGCTGATGTTATGTCGGAATGCTGAAGCAGTGTACTATCATCCTCCTCAGGGACCTCCGGGGGCTGCTGGTGCAGAGGGCAGGCAAGGAGAGAAGGGCGCTAAGGTAGGAAAATCAATTCTTCCTTTGCAAAGTAGAGCCGTCTCAGCAAGTCCCTCGGACTTCCTCCTCCCTCACTGCGCCCACATTGTGGAATTAAAATCGCAAAAAAAGCGCTGAAGTCATTTAATTTCCATCGCAGATTAGATGGAAATTTATGAACACAGTCTATTTGAGTAAAACCAAGATTCACTTGTTTCTCCTATTGTTCTGTGGCTTAATTTCGAGGCCTACAAAGGAAGTCAAGGCTATTTGCGTATAGCCCTCAGGTATTCTTCAGTTATCGTGCGTTTCTCTTTTTTGTGCTCGCTGAAATTCCTCTTGAGTTTGCACTTGTTGTAAGCCAATTTCTTTGTTTCATCATTGTCTAAATGTACACACATACTCTGCTGCTTTGTGCATAGGCAAAATCATTTAACACCAGATGCTGCTTGCAACAAGATGCCTCTCTGTTTATGGATAACAGGGAGGATGTGGATGTTAACCTGAAGAAAATAATATTTTTTAATGCCAGTAGTGTTGCACACTTTGCATACATGTTTGATAATCACTGTTAATGAATGACACTCTACGGTGTTCTTAAAACAGAGATTTGGCCTTAACTATCTGATTCCTGATCGAAAACATTGCATATGTCATACACAGTGGTCATAATAAATTCAGTAAAGTTGTTCTGACAGCTTTGCAATAAGCCTTTAATCTGTAAGTGCCTTGCAGCTCAGACATGGTTTATTTCCATGTGCTCTGTTTGCATAATGCTGTGTTTCAGATTACAGCTTGTCAGTATTCAGCTGTAGAACATGAGGACTTTATGTTCTCATGAGCTTTTTATTAAAACATGGCCAGAGTAACTTCCATCTATTGGGCCAATTTTCAACCCTGTGTAAAGCAGCAGCAACATAACTTTGAAAACTCAGGATCTTTTTAATTTTATTCATTTATTTATATATGAATTTTTTACTGGCCCCCATTTACCCAGTCTAAAGACGAGATACTTTCTCGGCATAATTTAAAACTCAAAGCAGCCTGCAGTTGAAATTAGTCTGTAGTGCTGAGTCGCTTCAGAAAAATACTTAATAAGCTAATAAGGTTGTGTGTGTGTGTTGCAGATTTCAAACGCCACACACAGTTTTTAATCTATCCCATTATATTACACACTGCTATTACACATTAAGACTTTTATGAATAACCAGCTATATACCACTGGTTTTGAATCTGTGGTGAGTGCTTGCAGGCTATGCTTTCCTAAAAACCGTGTGCATGTTGATTTATTTGTTTGTTTTACTGCTTGTAGGCTCCAGGACACATTTCCTAAATTTCTTCAATGACTGAACACTTTGGACTAGCTACTTTAAAACCTGCATTTGCTCAACTGTACAAAACTTTGCTTAAGTTATACCATTAGATCATTTGTATGTCCACATACAGGGTGAGTCAGGTGTGGAGGGTCCAGCAGGTAAAACAGGACCAGTTGGCCCCCAGGGACCTCCAGGAAAACCTGGTCCAGAGGGTCTGCGTGGAATCCCTGGCCCTGTTGTAAGTTGAAGCTTCAGCAATGATGCCTTCCTGTTCATACGATATACTCCAGAGAGATACGCATGCTTAAACTAAGACTCGCACTCAAAGTGCACACACGTTTTTTCTAAAAAAAAAAAACTACGGCTAAGGCATGATGATAGACTTCATGGAATAATCAATACTCCCATTTGGCTTATACTTTAGTTTCGCTTGTTTATTCCAGCACACTTTTCTTCCCTGTTTGGGCTATTAATCATCATGCTGGGCACAGAAAATCAATGGCAGACCAGAGAAAATACAGCAGCCTATAATGCTCACTACAATTGAATGGTTTTTCACAGGGTGAACAAGGAATGCCCGGCTCCCCAGGACAAGATGGCCCACCAGGTCCTATGGTTAGTATGCATAGCGTCCCCTACACTCTCCTGCCTTCTACCCTTGGCATTTATCTGTCTAACTAGATCTGGTGCTGTTGGAAGGGGGTGTTTTTGAAACAGTCTTGCTTCCAGACTTGCAGAGGTTAACTCACATTAGACTTGTTCCAGATTTGGTTGTTTAACAAAACCATAGCCTATCCCCTTAAATAATGTCTCAATTGAAAGTGTTTTCATCTTTTGTGTTGTTTCTTTGCTTCCCTCTCTGTGAAACGTGTGATTTTTGAGTCACTTATTTTGTTCCCTCTCATTTTGACACTCCAAGTTCTCTCTTACTGTCTTCTCTTTCTTTCTCTTTATTGCCTCATTTAAAAAAAATCAAGTCTTGTAACTTTACAGTTTTGCTTGTACTGTCATGAGTTCTTTTCTCTTTTTTTTTTTTTTGTTCGTCTCTGTGAAAATTGATTTTTAACTTCAGTTATTGTTCTTCAGGGTCCTCCCGGTCTTCCTGGCCTGAAAGGTGACCCGGGTTCTAAAGGTGAAAAGGTGAGCGTAGCACTTTCTTCTTCGTCTGATTGCAGACTGGTTTCATTTCTCATTTTTGATATAGGAGATAACCCTATAATTAGAGAGAGGAACTCTGGGGCAGAAGTGAGTCAAGACTACAACTTCTACCCAGCTTCCATGCCTTTTGGAAATCATCAAAAGCAACAGATTTAATTAAGAAGACAACTATACCCTTAAATTAAAATGAACCAAAATGAGTTCTGTCATACTTTCTGTAAGGAAAAATGCCTTAAAGTGATTGAATATGCAGTTGAATGTGATGTATCACTGTAAATCTGTCTAAACTAAACACTGTCAAATTTGCTGATGAAATATAACTGCAGAGGATATTCAGACAGCACACATTGCTAAGCTAAATTGCCTCCCACCCACTGACAGGGTCGGCTTGGGAGTGAGCAGTTTAAAAGTGCACAATTTAGGCACCGTGTTGCATGTTGTCAATTTAGCGGGCCCGGTTAGAACTCACCAGTTTCTCAGTAATCACGTACTTGTGAATTGGCCTGGCTCATGTTTGATTTTCAGAGAAGTTCTTCGGTGTGTGCTGTAAGAAAAGCATTCCAGTTTTAATCCCTGAGGATTTGTACTGTAATGAAACTTCACCCTTTGCAGCCTCCCACGTGCATTTCATTTTTGCGGATAAAGAAATAACTTCACCTTTGTCAGGAGATATGAACATTTTTTTATGGTAGAGTTCACAAGTGACATTTGTTTTCATCCTGCAGGGTCACCCAGGTTTGATTGGTCTGATTGGACCCCCTGGCGAGCAAGGAGAGAAGGGAGACCGAGGTTTGCCCGGGCCTCAAGGTTCTCCTGGTGGCAAGGGCGACGGTGTAAGTGATTGATGACTCTATTCCCACACTGGTCCACAGGCCACTTGCCCTGCACCTCTTGCCATTTTTAGCCCATTTGCCCTTCTACTGTGGCCACAGATCTTGCCACAGTCACTTGTTTTTGACTACAGCTTTTTACTAGAGCTCTGCAATGCACTGCACATCTCTTCTCTTGCTGTATCCAAAACATTTGTCTCATTGGATTACTGATGCAAATTGCTTAAAATGTGTAGAGAAAACTGTATAATTATGGCTGTGAGGTGTTTAAACCAAACTCTTTAGTTGACACTGCTTTAGCATGTAGAATATCAACATCATGGAAACGAGCAGTTCAAGTATATGAGCATCAACACTAGTATAGATGTTCGTTGACGACTCATTAACACCGTGGTCAGTTGTTCCTATGTGTGTGTGACACTGCTGTTATAATATCACTCTGTGTGATGTGAAAAACTGCTTTCATTCTGAGCCACATCATTAAAAATCAGACCGCTTTTATTCTGTCTTTTCCACTTAAATAAGAAGCAGTACTGAAAGGAGGACATGACAGCCTTCATCCATTAAAAACACACACACACTGCAGGATCACTGAATATGTTACATTTGTAACACATTCTGCTGTAGTCTTCAGCCTGCCTTCGTTTAGTGATTTAAGGTGGTGTGCTGGTTATCTATCCATGTGATACTGCACTGCCTCCTTTTATCAAAGCTAAAGAATGTAAACATTTTTATTCAGATTCGTATGTTTACTTTAAGGCCTGAGAAGCAACAGGCCTGTCACAAGTGCAGTGTTTGGCCACTTTTGATAGTTTTCTTTGAATGTCACTGGTTCTCTTATCGTATTTTTTTTTATGTCACCAATTATTCAAGCTTGACAGTAATTCTGTTCCCTGCAATGTTTTTTGTTGTTGTTTTGTTTTTCTTCTCAAATATATGTACCTTCTACTTCGATCTGATCTCATAACAGGGTATCGCTGGAGCCAGCGGTCCTCTTGGTCCCCCAGGCCCACCTGGTTTGCCCGTATGTTTGTTACTTATTCTACTTATATATTAATGTCATAACAGAATGACTTTGCTAAATTGCTGTACTGTGTTCTTTGTCATACAGGGTCCTCAAGGTCCCAAAGGAGCCAAGGGTTCAAGTGTGAGTACAAACCCATGTTTCTAATAATGCATTGCTGCTGCGACAATCAGCATTTACTTTAAATGGAGCTTTAATAACATGTTTGTAAACTTTAAAGGGTCCTGCTGGTCCAAAAGGAGACACTGGTGCAATTGGTCCTCCTGGTCCTCCTGTGAGTCTTTCAAACTACTGTTTTCATTGTTTCCTGTACAAAGTCTGTTGTATATTTTTATATTGTATGAAATCTAAAACACCTTACAGGGCCCACCAGGTGAAGCTATCCAGCCTCTGCCAATTCAGTCACCAAAGAAGACAAAGCGCTCCAGTGATATCCAGTCAGATGGTACCATCATGGATTATGGCGAGGGTATGGAGGACATTTTTGGCTCCCTCAACAACCTCAAGCAAGATATTGAACGCATGAAATACCCCATGGGCACCCAAAACAACCCCGCCAGGACATGTAAAGATCTGCAGCTCTGCCACCCAGAGTTTGCCGATGGTAAGTTGAAGCCCAGCAAGACTTCAGCCTGAAAGGAAAACACACCCATGTTGTTGTCATGTTTCATTGTATCAGCAGAGAGAAGCAGCCACCAGAGATTCTCCTCATGTTTTCAGATACTAATGCTCATCCTAACAGCCATTATTGTGACAAATGGATTCTCTATTGAAAAAAATAAAACCGGTATAACAGTGATTGGCAGACCTGCTCTGAAAGAATTAAATTCATTAGTGAGCATTAGTGTTTGTTTGATAGCTCTTTGTATATCTCCTTTTTAAACCTTTGTGCCCTGTCTTTGCCTTATAATTAATGCATGAATTTTAGGCCGTCTCTCCTCTCGGTACAATGTGGGATTATCTGCTTCTAAAGTCTATAACCATAGCTGTTGCTGCGCAGTAGGTTTATTACTGCTGCTTTACTTCCTTTGAGGAATAAAATGTACCTTGGCTCAGGCATAAAAACATCATTTAATCCAGCTGTGTGTGAGCCATGAAAATGAGCAACAAATTTTTACTTAAGGTAAAGAAATCAAGCACACTAACGTTTGAAACTGAGCTTTCTGCAATTTTCTGTCGATGTAAGTTGAAGAGAAATTTTGGCTGTTCTTGGTTCTCTTCAGGTGAGTACTGGATTGACCCGAATCAAGGCTGCTCAGGGGATTCCTTCAAAGTCTACTGTAACTTCACTGCCGGAGGCGAAACCTGCATTTATCCAGATAAGAAGTCCAGTGGAGTAAGTAACTTAGGTTTTTACGAGTTATTTCAAACTGACTATTGTTAATCATCCTTTCTAAATTACTATTAAGCCATTATGCTAAGACAATGACGCAACAGAAGGCACATCACAAGGCTGCCATTGTTTATAAGAACTTGTTTGATCTGCTGCAGGTAGAAACCTGTTCAGATCTGATTTTGTGCAAGCACCTCAAACACCACCGACAGGCAAACACTACACACAACTCAAGAAGTTTGTGAAAATGTTCTCTCGGAGATATAAGTTTTATCTTCTTTCCCAGATGATAAACTTTGATGCTATGCTTGAGGCATTGCTGTATACAGCAGAAATGTTCACATATTATGCCTGTGGTAATCTAAAATATTAATAAACTTTGTCTTTTTATTTTCCAAAGGTCAGAATATCTTCGTGGCCCAAAGAAGTCCCAGGATCATGGTTTAGTGAATTTAAGCGTGGTAAAATAGTAAGTTTTCTTTTTGTTTTCATCTCTCATCCATCTCTTAGAGATCTAACATAGACTGAAACATATTTAGTCAGCTGTTGGTTCAACAATATGATTCAGCACCTATTAAAAAAAAAAAAAAGAAGCTTAGTTTGAATTTGGCTGCAAACTCTTTCAAAGTTGTCTCTTTGAGCAGTCCTGCTAGGTTTCAGTCACTCAGTCAAAGTCCCATTTTCACTTGGAAGTGTTCATTTATCCCAATTGCTGGATCAACTCCAGTGTGTCAAAACAGGGGCAAATACTCCAGGCGGTGTCCCATCATTGTGTTGTTTTAGCAAAAACTTCAATAAAAAAAATGCAAAAACCTGTTACCAGTTTTTTCTTTTGGGCAAGATTCACAGTTGTAATTGTAAAAAAAATATTTTTTTTTTAAAGAAAGAAAGAAAGAAAGAAAGATCGATCTGATCTAATGCACTTTCTCCTGACTTGGAGGCCCAAACTGCAACATAAGTAGGGATGGGTATTGATAAGATTTGCACGATTCCGATTCCATTTTCGATTCTGTTTAACAATTCGATTCTTTATCGATTCTCTTATCGATTCTTTATAAGAAAGGAGAACACTAAGTTCGATTAGCTTGGAACTTCGTTTTATATCTTCTCTTTGAACAAAATAGAAATTTAAGAGTAACATGGCCTTACAAACCCAACAGTGAGATCTTAAGAGATCCACAGCCTACGGCTCTTCAATGGGGTGTCACAGGGTCCCCAGGAAAAAAATTTGTAAATGTAAAATAATAAAATAAATATTCTTCTGTAGCAATAACAAAATATAACATAAATTATTCAGTAGCAATTATACAAGAATATCCAGTAATGTCCCTGCCTACAATTAAACACATTCACTTACCTAAAATCGGGGGCATCTGCTGTGGCAAATGGGTGCAAGCCTTTGACCACAAACTTAGACACTGCTGGGTGACATTCGTCTATCCTGGCCTGAAAGGAGACGCTACCGGTAGACTGCAGCGACAACTGCCAGCATCTGAGCCAGACTCTGTCTGTCTCTCTCATCATGATCACCTAAACGCACAGTAATGGCAGGTTTTGTAATAAGGCAGATCGTGCTAACATAATATGCACTGTTAGTTGATTATTTACCTGCCGCATTAACGGGAGAGGACGTGCAAACGTTACCGCTGCTGCTGGGTTGAGATTCATGAGTCCGGAGTGGAATTAAAAACACGACATTCATTTAAGGTTATCACGTGTTTTCTGAGCAAATGCTTTTGCATATTCGTAGTGTTTCCTCCCTTAAATGAAATCTCTACTTTGCAAGTATTGCAAGTTGCCCTGTTGTCATCCGTTCTAGTAAAGTGTAACCAAACTTTTGAGCGTTTGAGCCGCTTACGCGCCGTGTTTCCTGCTAGGTAAATGATGCTCCGCACCGTGGTGACGTCATTCGGGGCGACTGGAATCGATAAGGGAATCGTTTGCAAAAATGGCAAACAATTCCAAGGAATTGAAACAGTGGGAACCGGTTCTCAACAAGAACCGGTTTTCGATACCCATCCCTAAACATAAGTTTCAGTCAGTTTGACACAGAAGTTGATCTCTGCCAAACCTGAGATCAAGATAATATCACAAATGCAAGAAGTCAAGGAGTCAAAAATGGACTCTTAGTGAGTAATGTAAATGTAACAGAGGTGCTGGAAGCACTGCACTGCTTTACAAGAAGATGACCTTGAGAGTGAAAGCAATCACATTTAAAGCAGGTATGGATTTGCTTTTTATGGGTGCATACACTGAAGTTTTTCATTGAACTTCAAAAACTTGCTTAGACAGTAACACCACACATAAATGGTTACTGTTGAAACATTTCTGTAACCAGACTTTGCCATATACAGAAGAAAGTATCACTAAAATATCAGAGTGAAGCCGAGGAGAATTCTTCAGGATGTTAGCATTCCAGCTGTCCTCCTTCTGTCCCTGGACAGTGAAAATCTCTCTGTAAACGTCATCTATTTACTGTATTCACCAATGAAAGAAACAGGTTTGTCCCGCTCCATCAAACTGGTGTCATGGTTCATTCCACAACAGCACAAAGGCTGGCTGTGACAGAAAATGACACGACTTTGAGGTATTGAAAGCCCGGTGCATTTCCTGACTTTGGATAGTGAGTGCTTTTAATGCACATGTTCAGACATGAGTTACACAAAGTATCTGTCAGAACTGTGTCGTGTCTAAAGGTCTTGTTTCTCTTGAAGCTTTCCAAGACTGTGCATGTGTATGGATGCAGAGCATCCATACACATGCATTACTATCCACATGCATTACTATCCACATGAGTCCTTCAACTTAAAGTATTTAGGGATCTGAAATTATTTTGCACTGTTTTTCACATAGTTTGTACGATCTTGCATGGAGAGACAGAACATTTTGTTCTTGTTAAATAAGATCAGGTATCAGTCATCACATTTATTTAGATTTATTTCACAAACATTTGGTAATTGCTGCTCATTCTCTCTCTTTCCATCTCTGTCCAGTTTTCCTATGTCGACGCAGATGGGAACGCAATAAACATGGTACAAATGACCTTCCTCAGACTACTGACAGCCTCAGCCAGGCAAAACTTCACCTACAGCTGCCACCAGTCTGTGGCGTGGTACGACGCCTCTAGCGACAGCTACAACAAGGCACTGCGTTTCTTGGGTGCCAATGATGAGGAGATGTCCTACGACAACAACCCTTACATCAAGGCCATCTCAGATGGATGTGAGGTAAGCTTGACCGCCTAAATAAGAATGTTTATTGCGGTGTATTAAATTAAAGATAAAGAGCAGTCCTGTTCTGATTGGCTATAATCTCTGTTTGTTATCTAATTCACATTTGTTGAATAGAGCTATTTTAAGTATTTCATTTACTTAAAAGAGACAATGCAGTTTGACATGGTTCCAATGCTGGCCTTTGTTGGGCTTTTACATCCACAGTTGAATGATCTAAATCACAATTTAAATCATTCAACTGATTCCAAACCTTCATACAATATGAAAAATGAGAAAATATCAGAGAATGGATAAAAAATTGAGCTGCTGGCACCTTTAATTACTTTAATTACAACTTTTATTACTCATGCAATTAAAGTTATCAGTTGGTAACATCTTCCTTCAAACAGAGTTTTTCCAGTAGCTTTTTTCTCTAAGATATAAATGAAATGGCTTTATGATGAGCTTACAGATTGAGCACACAGCTGAAGGTCCCGGTTTATTTTCCTGATCATTTCTCATCTGACTGCTTGTTTTTAATGTGTTCCTCTCTCTCTTGTTGCAGACGAGGAAGGGCTACGGAAAGACTGTGATGGAGATTAATACTCCCAAAATTGATCAGGTTCCAATTATCGATGTCATGTTGACTGACTTTGGGGATCCGAACCAGAAGTTTGGGTTTGAAGTTGGGCCTGTCTGCTTCCTTGGCTAAATACAAATGAAAAAGTCAAATAAAAAAATAAAAAATAAAAAAAAGGACTTGATGGGGCCAACAAAGAAAGTCAAGTTGAGACATTCTGGGTACTACCAAACCCCATTTTTAGCCCCCCACCCTTTTCCATGCCACATGCAAGTTTTGAATAAGAGATGGTGTAGCAAACATGTCTTTCCATGTATGTATGTGTAACCCAGGAAAATACTTGTTGCCCTTGTGGGGCTCGAACCACATGACTTAACCACGTCACGGAGCAAAGGTGAAGGACAATCGAATCGTGTGGCAGAGGAGGGTGAATCGGACATAACCGAGGGGGGTGACACGCGTCTCCTCTCTGGACTCTCCAGGTGCTGTATGAAAACAACAATGGTGCTTGTTCAAAACACACACAAAGTCTAAAAGAGGTGCTACAAAAGAAGGTGTATTTTGCTAATTATAAAATACTGTAATTATTATTTTGTACAAAACTTTTATTTCTAAATCCACTTTCAAAACTTGCATGTGTATCAGATTTCACTTTTGGCTCTTTCATTTCAACACTGGTTTAAAGACATACCGTGTAAGTTAAAGGCATCATTAAGTCAAGTCAATTTATAATTCTGTCTTTTTGTTCCAACACTTACTGTGTACATGTCATGAAGAAAATAAAAGTGAGCATTCAAACAGTTCTCTATTGCTAAATTAGACTGTATGCCCTTTGTATATATTGACAGTCCAAAGCTTGAGGTTACTTGCTGTTTTGCCCTTGTGACCGTAGGTGAAACAACTGGAAGTATTACACCTGCACGTATATGACAACATCTCCCACTAATGTTGTGATCCCGTGCTAGTAGGAAGCAATCATGGCATTCATCTTCTTTTATTTAATTCTATTTTTCTTTTCTTTTGTTTCTTTGTTTTTTCCATTTTCTGACAGGCTTTCATTTTGGTTGGATACCTCAAACTTTCTTGATAACCTTTAAGATGCAAGGTTGCCATGCCCTGTATATACCTTGGTTAAGCAATTAAGTTTATATATATTTGGGTGGGGATTTTTTAAAAGAGAGAAATACATTAACTGTTAGAGATCCACTGTTCAGATCCCTCTGTGAATGCATTGAGAATCCCTTTCGGTGACCCATTTTTGTAACTAAGATGTTTTAATGTGCTTTTTATAGTTCATTTAAATATTAAAAACCGGATTCTAAACAACAGTGAACTGAATGTCTCAACAGTTTGTGTAAGATGATTTTGGAGAAGATCTACCTACTGTACATGTGAAATGCTTTAAATCAAGGATATGTTCATTCAATTAAGACTCTGGGCTGGTGCAATTCCATCTCTTGAAACCAATAAAGTACCATCTTACACTAATTTACGTTCATTTGGAGTACATGAATGGAAACATAAAATGTTTTTTATTTGCCATGGAATGGATGAAAGAGACTTACCTGCCTTCATTTTTAAATGTTTCAGTATCTGCTGCTTATTTACCCCTGATCAGCCTGTGAAATACATGCTGTATTTCACTATGATGCCTATTTGAGAAGCATGCGCACACAATAACACTTAATTCCAGGGAATACACTTTATTTCATTCAGTTGGTGGAAAAAAAACTGGGCGTATACAGAAAAGGATGTAAAGACTGCAGCAAGTGGGGTTAGAGTATTATTCTTTGCATATAGATGTTACATGCTGGGCGCAATTTACTTGAGGGGTTTTCCCCCACTCATCTATGTATCCTTGCCTCTCCTGAAATATTTTTAGCCCTGGTGGGGGAGGGACCTTCACCAAAGTCATTAATAGTACTTTAAAAATAGATATACCAAGATATGCTGTGACCTTTCAGTGTGGTGCCAAGCACAGCTACCTAAACGAAAAGGATTTAGAGCAGCAGATATTCCTATTTTACAGCACTCTTACAAAATAAAGTGGAATTTATAACTGCTGAGAATGAGGTTACAATCTCATTCTACAGTATCATTAAAGCATTTTTATCCTTTTTTTTCTATCTGATAAGTAAGAATACAATCGTAAAAAGAAAGTTTTCATAGCACTCTGCAAACCTGTGAGAAACTGCATATGCCGCATGATTCAGTTGCTCGTAGAGCTACCATCAGCAGCAGGGACTATCAGTAATAGCACTTTGGTCAGGTTTATGTCTGGTCTCAGACTGGGCCACTGCAACACTTCGATTTTTTTTCTTTTTTAGCCATTCTGTTGTAGTTGCTGCTGTGCTTGGGATCATTTTCCTGTTGCATGAGCCAATTTGGACCAAGCTTCAGCTGTTGGACAGATGGCTTCACATCTGATTCTAGAATGTTTTGGTGCACTGACTAGGTCACAGTTGGCATGGCAACTGCAAGGTTCCCAGACCCTGTGTCTACAAAATAAGCCCTAATCATCACACCTCCACCACTGTGCTTGACAGATGGCATAAGGTATTTGAGCTGATGTGTTGTGTTTGGTTTCTTGACTGTGGCACTGCACATTTGGGCCAAATACCTCCACTTTGGTCTCATCTGTCATTGTTCCAGAGGTCTTGTTGTTTGTACAACTTGCAACTCTTCCAAACAAGCCAAACTACAGTACTTCAGCCTTCTTTCTAATGGCACTGACATGAACTTTAACATTTCACATGCTAACTGAGTCTCAGATGTAGAGCTTGGATTTTTTTGCAATTTCTCTGCAAAGTGCACACTTTGACCTTGTAGTGAATTTGCTGGGTGGTCCATTCCTGGTGAGATTCTGGTGAACACTCCAGACCACCAAACTGCTAAGCTTAATCAAGTGCATATGATTAACAGCACATGGCTACTACTAGCAATACTTTGTCATCAAATCGCTAATTCATTTTTTTTAAACAGAGGAAAATTGTGAGTACAGTGGTTAAGTTCAAGTTAGAATTGGAGAGCTAAGGCCTGTTTTAACTCCTACAATCCATAATGTGTATAGACCATAAAGATGAAATGCCACCATCAAGTGTTGTAAATATGAGCCAGAAGGCTAGCTAGCTAGCTTTGCTTAACAGAATAACTGAAAATATGCAATCATAATGAACTATCCTGGCTGTGTCCACGAGCAATAAAATTCCCAAAAACAAATTACATCAAACCTGACCATTTAATTTGCTCAATGTTTGTGTCAGAGAGTAATAGAAACACTTTGCTGGTTAATGTAATGACCAGTTAACGCAATGAACAGCTAGCTTGGTCTGCCTCTGCGCAAAGGTAGCAAAATCAAATCAGGAGCATATTAAAAGTGCAATAATTAATAATTAAATATTAAAATTGCTATCGAAATATAATCATGGAAACAGTATTTGCAAAATACCACATAATCACTAACTCTGGTGCATAAAACATTTTCAGAGTGTAATCAAAAAGAGAAAATCCAGTTTCTGAGTACATCTTTGGTGCACTGAGAGAAGGAAAAGTTTGGCTAGTTTTATCATTGTTTAATAGAGACATGAGTTTAAATTAGCCTTTGAGGTCATTAGAATATAGCTGATCTCCACAGGTTTGTTCTAGAGTTGAAAGTTCTTGGTACTTGGCCTTGCTTTTTTATCAGTAACTTGAAAAAGCTGAATGAAAGCGTGTATGGCAAGTATACAGTGTTGTGTGTCTTTGCTGATTCCTCTTGGACTCCACAGTAACTAGACGTGATTGTATTAACGAAAACAGAGACAGGCCTCATCTATCTAATGAGAAATCAAATAAATGCATTTCAAATGTAAAACTATTGCTCTACAGTCTTAAGTCATCCTGAAAGTGCCCATTGTCTTTCTAATAAATGTAATTCCATTACAGTTGTGTAGGTTGTTCCAGCCAAATCACTGCAGTTCTGCAGCTCCTCTTCTCTCCTTGAAATTATGAGGGGCAAAACAGGCCTAATTAGTATTCAGTCCTCCTGTGCCTTCTTGAAACAAATGTTAGCAATGGCCTGTGTCACTTCAAAGGACTGACCACCGCTAAACCTTTTATTTTCTCCTTGAAAGGTGTAGAAGAAATCCTCATAATAACAACTGACATGTCTGTGCTAGGCAGCAAAAGAAATGGACTTTGCATTTTCTTTTATCTTTTTTTTCCCCTTTAGATAGTGGGTCTTTGTAGGGAAGCGACCAAAGAGAATACTCATGTGGAACTGCACACAAGCAAAACAATCAAGAAATGCTCCCCGTGGGTTCAGAAGCAAATTCAGCTCCACAACTCACGCTACCTTCTTTATAGTCCTTTAGCAAATACCACGTTTGTCTCAAGAGATTGCTCACACCCTTAATAGCTCTTTTTAAATATTCAATTCACAGAGTTTATTCAAATGAAGCAATCAAACTTCCTCGAGTTGTTGTGAAAGATAGTTGTAATAATAATCTCCTACATTACCATATAAATGTCAGTTTTGCTGCATTTGCTGTCGTACACTGTGAGGTGAACAAGATCTCAAAGAGTCCCGCTGACAGAACATCATTCTTTATTAACAGGAGATCAATGGGCAAAACAAGCTGCAATTGCACTGCATGAATGATTGATGATTAGTGAGTAGCGCGGCTCAAAAGCATCACAAAAATAGCTTGTTAACAACAAAGCAAAGATACACTAAGCTGCGCAACTTGAAAGAAGCCAAATGTCAAGTGGGGGAAACCCTCAAATTTCAGCGAAAACACAATATTCTGGTTGTCCCTAACACAAGATCATGTTTCCAGCAGCTTTTTAATAACATAAATCTTTATTTCATGTCCCTAACTGGATATGATAAAGATCGCTTTGGAATAAGATATCCAAAACCTAAAACCACAGCACTTTTATAAGCTGTTGATGGGTCTAGTTTGTTTCTAAACTCATTCATAGACCTAATCAAGTCCGGTTTTACTGACTCCAGCAAATGTTTGTGTTGGTTCAGTGTATACAGAAGGTAAATAATTACAAGGACACCACTCACAGGGAACATTAAGTCTTCAGTTGCTTCAGCAGAGAGGTAGGAAAAGCATTTGGCTGTCCAAATTACTGCTCTATTCCTCTGGATCAGTGGATATGAAAAGATTACACGGCACCCCAAGGATCACACAGGGACTTCACAGTCACAGCAAGAACTAAGTGTGGCTAAGATACTCTAGTGAGTCAAGAAAGCGGTAATTCTTAATCAAAATCACCTTGAACTGTAGCATACAGCTCCTTTTTAATGAAAACAAGACAGGATTGATTTAGCAAGCTCATATACAGCAAGCTAATATGCCTGACACCGTGGCATGAAAATGAGGAACATGTTATTTATTTGGAGATTGGGGTGTAGACTTTCCAACAGTTTCTCATACAATTATAATACAAGGGAACCTCATACCACTAAAAACAGAAAACATATAGTATTGAAAGCAAAAGATATTTAGAATAAATGGAAATAAGATTAAATGTTTTCAACGGAACAAACCCTTTCTGGGGATTACAAAACTTCTCAGGATTTACTAAAGTTGTTAAAGGTGTGTGATGGAAAGGCGTGGGCTTCCCCTTTCAAACAGCTACATTTAGGGGTTAAATTTAATCATACAGGCTTTACAGTCACACAATCATACAACTTTGCTTTGGTCAATTTCCTGCTTATATCATTGTAGACTTAAAAACAGCATGTCAACCAATTTCTACTTGATGTGGCTTCATTTGCAGGTGGTGGGAGGAAGTAGTAAAAAAAGAGAGAGAGAGATTAAAAGCTATAGCTGGCTGCCTGTAACTAGGTGTCACAACAGCAGGTAGCTCCACATATTTGATTTGTCAGAGTTTTGCTTACTAAGTGAATGTGTACACCACAAAACAGTCGAGCTATCAGAGAGAGAGAGAGTCGTTTAATAGAAAAGTAAGATATATTCAATTATCAGAACTTATCAGTTGCTAAGAAAGATTATTCCAAATTTATAATAAGAATTATGCAATGCCCTCGGTCACAAAACGTCTTGAAACTCTTTTTTTGTTTTTGTGTGTTTCTGTGTTTGCTGCCTCTCCTTTTTAAGAGCTCAAGCAGGGCTCTAACAACTCTTTCACAAGCATTGTAAGGTCATGTCGTGCCTACAGTACACGTCTAGACAACATTTTAAAAAAGGGGAAATTCATGGGCTATTAAGCTGAAGATTTGAACTATTTTTTCTTTTTCTTTGTTTTAAATGGCTTTAGGATCCTGGATGGATGTTGGTGGATGATTTTGGTTAAGAAAAAAAATCCTACAGATGCTGGTCAGGCCTACAGCAGCTTTGACTGATAAGCTCGTGTTATCTTGTGCAATGTACTTTGTCCGCATTCTGCACATGCATTTGCGGGCATGCTGTGTTACAGATGTCCTTTTTGCTGGCAGGTTAGGTTTTGCCATGTACAGTGGGGCAAAAAAGTAT